AAAAATGAAGTGCGCAGAGAGCTCGATGCCTCGACGAATCGATAAATAGATTGGAAAAACACGAGGAGCGATTCGCTGCATGGCTAAGCTCGGCGCGTGCAAATGTTCAAGCTGTAAATAAGCAAGTATATAACGCTCGACTCGGAAAGTCCGCGTACGCGCGTACTACAGCGCAGCAAGATAAAGAGAGCTGGCTGGCGGTGGCGGCGCCGAACAAAGCCAGAAGCAGTGCTTACGAAAGCCACTGCTGTGCTCGTCGCTCTAGCGTCCACGTAGACTGTAGAGCGGCGCGCACGTCATAAGCGGCCGACGACTGGTCTTGTACTGGCAACAAGTAGCCAGTGTATCAGCTAAAACGGCCAACTGCGCGCGTACGCGATGTAGCAGTCGAAGCAGAAAGTGACTAAGACGCATACGGCCCTGGGGGCTCTCTCGCGCGCCTTTATCTCGCCAACGTACGCGTCGAGTGCGGTCGAGCCTCGAGTCTCGGAGCCTCGCAAAAGCCGAGCTATAGCTCGAAAGAGCCAGCGACAGAGAAGGAGCATCGGCGCACGCGCTCTCGAGCATTGCTTCATCAGCCGACTCCGAGCTGCGCCAAGCTGCTTCTGTGTATTTTTATCTATACGTGTACGCGTATACTCTGCCTGTACAGCAGCAGCTTTATATAAGCAGCAGCAGCAACCAAACGATATTCGCTCGAGTCGCTGCATCCGATTTTTCTTTGCGCCACCTTGCGGACTTTTACATTCCTTTTTCCAAAGTCCAACCCCCTTGTCGTCCAGACCATTGTACAAGGCCGCTTTTCGATTTCGAACGTCGTGCGATTACTCATACGATATACTTGGCTGCCTGACGAAAGCCGAGCAATTTCAAAATGTATCGCTCGGTAACTCTTCCAGATGACAATCGTCGCTATTCGTCGCTTCTATCCGACTACGCATTCTCCAAACTTTGACAATGTCAAAGGAATTGAATATAAACACAAAGTGGACATTAATTCTGTCGGGTAAAACAGAGTGATGGAACGTGTATAAGCATGGGAAATTCCAGCGTTCCACCCGACAGAATTATTATGTCCACTAAGTGTGTAGCACCGATAACAATACAACGATCTCGCCGATTTTCCGCTTCGACGTGAATCAGTTGAAAAATTAGCTGGGCGAGCAATAAAGACTAATTCGATTAGCGAGTCGGTAGCGCTGATTTTAGCCCATTGGGAAAGACGATGCATCAGAATGTAGCAACTTAATGTCGAATCTAACGACTCGTGTGAAACGTGCACGACTTGTACGTACGTATATATAAATGAGCATATTATGAAGGATGCTCGGATAGGGTCGATCGCCAGCGACGAGCCGCGCACACTTGCATCGCTGCTCGACGACTAGCTTTACTCGCTTTACTCGCTCAAGGCGCGCGTAATCTCGCGGGCGACGAAGCGAAAAGGCTTTCCCCGATTCAACAAGTGCCTTCCTTCCGCCTTTATAGTATATGCACATGTCTCTCTCTCTCTCTCTCTATCTAGATACGCGCGAGCCGTAAACCTTTCACGGTTTCACCCCGTGCTAACGTATGGCATGTGTATACTGTATAGTGTATACGCTATAGCCGGGCCACTTGATTTCGTTGCGCGCCAGAAGCTCGCGCGCGTTTCAAGGGTTTCTAGTTTTCCGTCTCTAGGTCGCGTGCTTACGCTTTATCCGTATGCTTTTTTTCTCTACTCCGAATCTTGGCTAATTCGAATTTCAGGCCGCGCATTGTCGTTTATTCATATGATCGGGTAATGGCGTAATTCGGAGCACTCGCAATTCTGGCTGGTCGGGTTTTTCGCGTGCGCGACACCGCGCTCGACCGGATATAACTTGATATGCGTTTTCAATCGAGTCTACCCATCCTAACTTGCTCTTTTGCGTATATAATTAATTGTTAACGTCGATCTGTACTGCCAGCTTATGACTAGTTTAGACGGCTACTGGTCAAAGTCGGCTTAACGACGTGTCGAGTAAGATGTCGTTAACATCGAGCACACAGAGAATACAAAGATCTGTCAAAAAGTTGCGTATTCGGGCGTTTCACCAGTGGCCAGTTGAGTACTGCACGACGAGCTGAACAAAGTCCCTTGTAGCTCTTAATACCAATTCGCAGCGAGTATTAGCAGTTTGTCATGGACACAATAACGTATAGCATAGACGGGGAAAAAATTGTTTAAATCAAAAAAAAATAAAAAAGCGGAGGAGAAAGAGAATTGAACTTGAATAAATATATATAAAGAAATAGGCGCGTAAGTATAGATGCGCTCGTCGAGTGCTTGGAGTTGTGCGCTGCAAAGCGGCTCGCGAGACTCGCGACCTCGTTGGTGTCGGTGTACGGGGCCTCAAGTAGGACGAGCAACGGATGCTCAACGCCTTGACTCGGCTCTCCGTGTATCGCCGCCGCTCTTACTACACGTATCTCTCTCTCTCTCTTTCTCTCAGTCTCAGTCTCGATACGTTTATCCTATGCTGTGTATGTGAGCAGCGCTCGCGCACACACATGACTGGAGAAAGAGCTTGGCAGCTCCTAACATACTGTACGCATGAATCGACTAGCTCAGTTGTTGTTTTTTTACCCGTATTTTCTCTAGCTTCTGAAGCTGATGGATAGATTTTTAATTCGAGCTTAATTTCGTCCAAGCAAAGACGAGATATCTTTTTAGGGACGCTTCTAGTGTTTCTCGATAGTACTTGATTTTCATCGAGCTCAATCATTTAAGTAATTTTTTGGTTTTTCGTCAACTTTTAGCGTTTACCGATCGAGCGTTTGCAATACAAAGAGCAACGTCACGAGTAGGCCTCGAGTCGATAATCGAAATCCTCGAGCAGTTCGTAACATATAAGCTTGAAATGAACGAAAGGCGATTCACGATTTAACACTTTATTATCTGACGTTACATTACGATCGTCGCGAATATCGACTTTACAATTTTCCTCGCACTCGGTCGATTTTTGCGGCCTTTTGTCGAGGAGCTTGGCCACTCGCAGCCAGGCCCATGGACGGTTCGAGGAGGAAAAAGCGCCGTTTGTCGCGAGCGAGCCGCTTGCAAGTTTAAATCGAGGCGCGAGTCTGATTTTCCTCTTTGCTCTCGGCGTCGACCGGCGGATTTTTCGTCTCGCTACTCCCTCTTCGGACTCGGCTGCGCTTTGTGCTTTTTTCCGCAGAAGCTGCGCGGCTCCCACCGACTGCATATCGCACATTGCACGCACGTGCGGATACCGATGCGTCGTTGGCCAAGTATGCGCGCTTCGTGGCTGGCTCTCCCTCCAACTCTCGATTCTTATTTCTCATGTCTTATTTCTCGTGCTTGGTCGCGATCGCGCTCGAATCGGCCCGAAGCAGCAGCAGCAGCGACGATTGGCGGCGACTGACGCTCGCTAGCTCTCGGCTCATTTGTCATCGGCGATGCACGTTGCAGCCTCCACTCGTGCTCGCTCGCTCGCTCGCTCCATCAGTAGTACAGATCTGTTTTCAGATCTCTGCGCTCTAAGCTCGTTCGTTATCTCTTTTTCTCGTTTGCTTTTAGGCTGCCGTCACAAGCGCTTTTCTACTTGAAGCCGTCGCTCCGTCTCTCGAGCCGATCGACTTTCTTTTCAACTTGCTCGATCGCCTCGCCTCTACAAACTAATTGCCGCGACTGCTCGAACTTTGAAACGTGTGACCTGTTGCAACGCCAACTGCTCGACGTATATCGCCTATCTAGTTACTGCGGATTCCGTATTGAAGCATGGATAATCTCGCAGATTTTCGCTTCATCGATCGACCTTACGTTTTTACGTTGTAAAGGCCACAGCTTTCAAGCTGTATGAGCAATCGGAACTTCCGTTTTCGAGTAAATCGCGCACCAATTCCGAATCTGAATCATAATATCTCATCCAACTTCAACAATTTTCCATTTTAAAACATTCAATCTTTTTAATACGCACGCCTAAAAATGAAAATTTACCTACAACTGCAAGAAAAAAGTAAATACCTATCAAATGAACGTCGACAATGCCGGTAAATTTTTGTTGCCAACTCTGCTATGCTTAAAAAATGAAAACGTATTTAAACAGTAAATCAATGAGGAAAAAAAATATATCCATCTATAGATGTGTATATATATAGTTGTCTGTTCTTAGTTATTATTTTATTGTGTAAATGTATTTATATAATAATTTTTTTCATACGCATTTTAGCTAAAAGAAAAAATATTTAAAATTCGATAAAGAGCAAATGAACGAGTCAGATCGAGGCAGGCAAGCAAACGCGAACGTAGCAAGCCAAGCCAGCACGAGCAACGAGCAAAGCAAGCAGGCAGGCAGGCAGGCAGGCAGGCAGGCCAGCAAGAGATATTGAGCCAGACTACGCGCAGCAGTTCCCGTCATTTGCGGCGCACGTGGGAGTTTGTGTGTGTATGTGTGTATATAGTATAGATATCGTGCACGTATTAAGATCGGGTGGGTGTATGTGTGTGCGTTGAACAGAGCCAAGCGAAGCGAGAGAGTCAGCAACGGCAGCAGCAGTATGCCGGGAGGACGGACAGGCGGGCGGGCGGTAAGAGGAAAGCGTCGTTGTCAGGGCGCTCGAGCGGGGAAGCGGGGATAGGCGAGGGGAAACGTAGCAGCAGCAGCAGCAGCAGAGAGAGAGAGAGAAGCAAAAAAGTCCATAGCCAGCGGCAGCTCGTACTGCTCCGATCCGTGAGAGTGAGAGAGAGAGAGAGAGAGAGAGAGACAGAGAGAGAGAGAGAGAGAGACAGAGAGAGAGAACGGCGCCGTCGCGCGCTTGTATATACGGCAGTCGAGTCGAGCCGTCGAGCGTTCCGTCCACTCGCGTATATATAATCGGGTAGAGGCAACGACGGTGGCTCCGACTGGTGGCACATTTGGTCCCCCGTCGACAGAGCGAGCGAACGAGCAAACGAACGCGCGCCCGACTCTCGAGAGCGAGTGAGAGAGAGAGAGAGAGAGAGAGAGCGGCCTTTCGAATCTGCCGACGAGACGCCCGACTCGACTCGCTGCCTGCTCAGTTTGTGTCGAGCTGCATCGAGCGTCGGTCGGATGTGCGTGCCGTTACGAACGCGTGTCGTTCCTTACTACAGCAGCAGCAGCAGCAGCAGCAGCAGCAGCTCATCGACGCGACACACGCACTCGCATACATATTCGCCATGTAATAACATGCGGCTCCGACCACTATCTCGCCTCTGATTCAGCACACCGTACGCACGTCGGTGTTTACCTCTATCAATAAGAAAACCTCTGTGACAGTGTGTACGCGTGTTCTGTGCCCTCCAAGCCAACAACCCGAGCAAGCCGTTCTATATCCCCCTCTGTAATACGTGTTCAGTGTTGTTCGATGCACGCACTTTCATCGAGCGCCCAGTGAATTTGCTACATTTGTTTCGTGTGCACCTGCGGCATTCGGGCAAATTTGCTCCTTGTTAATTAAGTGATCTACCACGAGGCCAGCCCTAAAATATCTTGTGTCGTTCGGTGTGGCGGTTCTCGTACCAGACAGTGAAAGACAGAAAATTGAGAATCGTCGTCGACCAGACGCTAGAATGGTCGTTGCTCAATGCCTCCAGACCAACCGTTGTACGGATACTTCCAACTCCAAATTGTGCAGTGTGAGTCCTAACTTTGGAATACCATGCATTTTACAACTGATTCGCCGACTGATTAACTTTCAAGCGTGAATGAAATACCTTGATACAGCGACCCCTTCCCCCACTTTCCTCGCTTGACAACTTCCTCCCTCTCCTTTCTTCCTTTTATATGCTCCCTCGCTCCTTTTGCTCGACACCCTACACTAGTCTCTCTCTCTCTCTCTCTCTCTCTCTCTTTACATTATCTCTGACTTACGATGCCTTCGTTCTTATAATCTCCAACATTTTTTCACCTGTCAATGTTTATGTTCGTGTCTCATATTCTCATTACTTTCATTTCTATTCATAAGCCAATACTGTTCTACCAAAATTATTGCAGCTTTCATAATTTCGTAAACAACTTTTATTTATCTCTTCAAGTTCTTTGGTATTGTTGAGAAAATTCGTTAAACCTTTTTTCTTCGTTTTTTTATTACATTTTGGTTGTTTTGGTTGTATCAACATTTTTACAATTTTTCAATTTTTTAGTTTTCTATCATTCACTTGTTTTATAACATATTTTTAATGCCTCATTGAAACGCCTTACGGATATCATTTTCTTGGCCCAAGCCGTTTTTTATTTATTTGCATTCATTTTATTGATTGCTGTGCATTAGGTTTTAGAACTTTTAAAGCATGTCCAACTTTTAATGCAAGAACGATTTCAAGTCAAAGGACGCTTATGGTTTTAAAATTTTCTATTCACATCGATTAAAGCAATAATCACTTTGGCTTCAATTTAATTTCAATTTAAAGTTTTGGATTGTTTATTATTCAACTGAATGTTGAAGAATATTTTATGTATGCTTGCCTTCACAATGCACGCTTAATTAATAAAAAAAGTACATTTCGTTCATGAAACAACTTGTTAAAATTAGTACTGATGAGATCTTTGATTTTTTTTATATGTAAAAAAGATGAATTGAATATTTGATCGAATGTAAGGTTCGGATGAATAAGCGTTCGGCCACCAGGTGGCGCCACGTACCGAACAGGCTTATTTTCTGATCTCTCTTTGGTCACTTTCGAAATTTCGTTTCATTTCGAATAACGGATATTATTCGTAGAGTACAATATAAAAATTGAATCGATAACAGGATGGTTTTTGTTTTTTCTCTCTCTCTCTCTCTCTCTCTCTATACTAAAACTGAATTATTTTATATTCGAAAGATGCACTTCAATTTACTTCTCAGTCTTTTGCAAATCTTCTCAATCGAATCATTTTTTGATTTCAATGTTTTTTCTTTTTAAAAATTATATTTTGATATTTTCATTGGTCAAACGAATTTTATGTTTTTTTTTTGTATAAGTATCGATGAATTGGAGTAAAGTAATGAGGTTGTAAAAATGTGCAGCAAGGGCCTTCCTCCGATCCTTTTATTGGGACAAAATTGTGTTGCGAATCGTTGTTAAAATGCATCCCAGGATTATTTTGATCTTTCTAAGGAGAAAAAATACATATATCTGACGTCACTTCACGCGCGCTTTTTTTTCGAAGACGGGCGACGCGCCGAGCTTCTGACTCATCAGAACACACTCGCTCTCGCCTTACGCGCTTAGACTCGATGCTATATAAAATAGAAAAGAGAAACTTGGTGGCGGCATGGAAAAGAGACTGTACTTATTTGCTTCGTCTTACTTATTTTTGCTTTTTCTATAAGATTATTAGGGTGTTGATTTTTCATGAATTGATTTTTTCATTTTAAATGTATTCAAGTAATATTTATGATAAATGTATAAAATAATATTCTTAGGAAGTACGTTTAGAACGTCCCCTTTTTCATCAATCAATTTTTAACATACGATCCATGATGACTTAAAAAGCTCTAAAATTACATATCCTTAAAATATGTCACGTTCTTTCATTTAAATTCTCTAATTTATTTATGAACTTATTAAGACAATTGTTTTTACTAGTTAGAAATTGTGAACAAAAATGCCAATGAACATTTTTCGTTATTTCAGAGTTGTGAGATGATGGGTCTGCAGGCCACTTCAGGAAAACGCAAATTAGATGGAGGTGTTGGTTGTATGGATTTCGACATGGATTTGGCTGAAAATCCAACAAAACTCAGCCGCATGGAAAATAATTGGTGGTCGATAGACGACAATTTTAGCAGTTTAAACTCGTCGAGTTCGACTTTTTATGATTTGGACATAATTTCGACGAGCTGTGAATCATTGGTCTCGTCAGCAAGTAGCAATTCTTGCAACCTCACAACATCTTCCACGACGACAACGACGAGCATCACCTCTACGCAGTCGTCGAGCTCGAATTCTGCGCAACCAACACATCACAATCATAACAATCAGCAACAAACGTCGCCCCAGCAGCAGCAGCAGCAGCAGCAGCAACAGCAACAACAACAACAACAACAGCAGCAGCAGCAGCAGCAGCAGCAGCAACATCATCACCACCATCACAATCATCACCATAATCAACATCAACAGCAACATTACTACCAGCGTCCGACTTACATTCAACAGCAACAAATGATGCAACATGCAAGGCTAATGCAACAGCAGCAGCATCAACAACAGCAACAACAGCAACAACAACAACAGCAACAGCAGTTGCAGCAACAAATGCATTGGCAGTACGATGCACCGACGATACGTAGAGAAGAAAACGGCAAAAGTTACCTCGAGCTCGGTTCGAGTTCGTACCGAGGTAACAGCAGCAACGGGCACACGATATTTGGCAACGGAGATGACTCGGTCGTTTCAATGTCAAACAGCGAACGTTGCTGCGACGGTTCGCGAAGCAGTTGGTGCAGGACAGGTAAAACGTGTTACAAGCAGCGCAGGATAGCTGTACTCAACATCTCGATGTGTAAGCTCGCGAGGTATCGACAGTTCCCGGACCCTTCGCTGCATCGATCCGTCCTCATCTGCAACACGCTGCGGACCCTCGAGCGGGAGATCGAGGAAGACGCAGTGGCACAAGCGACATCGGAGCCTGCCACGACCAATCCACCTATGATGCACCAGCCTCTAGCCCAGATGCAGTCGCTCGAGCAAGGTCGTCTCACACCGTTCCCACCGATGACGAGTTCTTTGCCCGAGACGGACGTGGACTCTGGACTTGGCGACAGTGACGATAGCCGCTCAATTAACTGGGGTAGCGTGCTCTCGCTTTCTAGCCAGTCGCCTCTCGATCCGCTCAACAACAACGACCTTCTAGGTGGTGACATTGTTCCAGATCTCGACCTCGACTTCATGCCTAACTGGAAGCCTCTTAGTTCGAGTCAAACGACCAGTAGTTGCTCCGCGTCGGAGGAGTCACATCAACAGCAGCAGCATTCCGTTTGTAGCGGCAGCAGCATTAACGAGCCACTCATGAGCGCTGTCAGTACATAGCCTCAGACCATTTTAACGTCGCTCAGTCATCTTATCGACTTTTACCCGCTGGGATAAGCGGTATCGGGATTCGAGGATGCCTTTGCGAAATCTTAACGTGTCTTGGCATCCCGAGCCCAGAAAGCGCGCAATAAGCTGCTCTTGCGTAACTGAGGGAGTCGCATTCTCTCAGGAGCAGCATAGTCGACGACCGTCCAGAGACAATCGCCGCGACGACGCTCTTCCGTTGGCCATCCGACTTCCAAATATCTACTTCTTCTCTGAAGGTTGTGAACCTCTCACGAAAGCGCATGAACCCACTGCTCATATCGATTCACAGGGTTTTTTCTTTAATTTTAATCAAAGAAGCATCTGCGCGTTGCGTCTTGTAACTGCAATAAACCAAATATTATACGAGCAGTGGGAATCGCGACCTCAAGGCTCCAGGCCCAATGATACTCCCGATTCTCATGAGTAGTTGACGCACTAGATTTTTATGCGATTTCGAGAGTCGGGGTTATTTGGCCTGTGAAATGAGATCCGAGCTTGAACGCGTATAAACGCCAGCTACGAAATGGTCTTATACGAGTACAAGAGCGCGTCGCAAGCGTCCTCGTGTATATTACAAGAAATTCAATATATATATATATATATGCGTAAATATATATGTATATATAAATATAAATATAAATATAAATATAAATATAAATATTATCGTACGTACGGAACTACATACGAATATGCCATGTGCATTGTACACAATTATAGAATTATATAAAATATTGTTCGTGTCAATTAAACACACGCCGCTTCGATTTGTCTATCGATGAAAGCCCCGAGGTTGATCTGATCTTGATTCTTTGCGATATATTAAGTACTACTGTACGAGAGTGTGAATGTGATAAAACGTATATATGTAATTGCGAATATAAATGAAAACGAAACAAATGCGAAAGGATTTCAAAATTTAAATTTGAATGATTGTACATTGAAGATAACGACTAGAAGATTTTCAACGGGCGTTTAATTGCCCCCGGGCCAGCGATTTATCTGTGATTTTTTGACTCGATCAAACGTAGAGTAACGAATCGGTATCGCTCGCCTAGCTGGCTGACGTTGAGAGTCTTCTAGTCTTAGTACAGAATAAGTTTTCGTACTGGCTGATCATTTATAGTTGAAAACGCAAACTTTTTTCAACCTCCTTTCGATCTTACATTACACATGACTTCACCGGTGCTAAACTATAACAAAATTATAAAAATATTTTATTTCTCATGTAATTATAATAATTAAATACCTTGCATTTAAATAGTAAAAAGAAGAATCGAAAACAATTGGAGGTTGAAACAATAAGAAATTAATTTTCATAATATACAGATCACATAAAGTAATGGTGCTAAAATGTTTAATAAGTTTTTTTGTTACAAAAATAGTTCTTCTGAGACATTATTTTCTATTATTTTTAACCAAATTTACGACTTTGATGCAAGTTGTTTAAAGTCACATATTTTTTTACTTTCACTTCATGTATAAAGTGAATTTTGTTGTACTAGGTACTTTTTATGAAATTTACTTTTAAATGAAACATTGCTATACACTCTGATGCAAAATCCTTTACAACTTACTGATCTCATGAAAGCCTAATAGTTTTGGATTTTGCATTGTTCTAAGCTTACCTGCTCACCGCTTTTAAATTTCAACATTTTAATTTTTGTTCAATCGGCGACAAAATTCAGATTAGAACGGATGATTAAAAAAAAAATAAATGTTTGTTTATTATTAGATATACGTATTAGCGATTGAATTCTTCTTGAGTCAGGCGATAGTATTATATTTTATATTTTGAAAAAAATTAACGAGCAGATCAGAGTGACGCACATGCACGATTATTTTCCAAACTTTTTACTTGCACAAATTATCCATCGAAACTCACCCACGCAAGCCTAAGCTACAGAAGCTAGTACGAAAATGTCAATCTAAAATATTAGACAATTTTTGTAAATAATAAAATTATCTAAAAATGTTAATGAATGAAACTAATTATTATTGAGTCTGCAATCATCCACGAATCCCATCGTAAACCTTTCTTCAAACAACATATATCTTCCAAGAATGTTACGTTGTATTTGGTATGAAGTGTCGGCACTATTTACGTTACCAACAAATCATGACGAGCAATACTATTATTCATACGCATGTAAGATTTGAAAAATTTTAAAACAAAAGGTGACTGAACATTCGATCCACTGAGATAGCTGCCGCTGCTTTGCTGTGTTTAAATTTTTAATTTCTTCCAAATATATCAAAAGTTTTATTTGTAGAATTTATGTGTAGAAATACTCATTTGGACAATGTGGATTGTCAACATCGATGAAAAAATTCAATACTACAATGCTATTTACTAAAGTTTACTATTTTGTTTTTTTATGCCATCAATTATATGGATAAATTAGCGTGAATGCAAAAAAAAGTATGAAGTGCTAGATAGATCGTAATCACCGGGGCTGAGGAGAAATTGAAGTAAGATATAAAAGTTGTTTTAAGAAATGAATTTTGTAAATATTATACATAGCTCGCGAACGTACGTCGAGTACGAGAAATTAATAGGTATAAAATGAATTATGCATACGAGATATTATAAATATTATATATAAACGAAGATTAAACAAATATATATATATATATACATATATATATTATATATTATGTAAAAATGAATATATGAATAAGATTATTATGTATATTTACCTTATAAGTGATAAAAGGGGGCCACGATCGCTCGCTCAATCTCCAGACGTCAAAGGACGTCGTTAAAGCTGAGAACAATGTTCTAAGGCCCAAAATCATGCATTATTGGCAGAGGGGGCACCGGCTTTCGTACTTGATGCCTTCTATTATTGTTCTTATTGACTTGTTCAACTTTTCTACGTACTTTTTATTGTATGCGTTATGATTTCACATCGTAGTCGTTTTCTTAACTTTTTTACGTATATTTTTTTTATTTCTGTTTTATAATGTATATAATATCAGGACAATGTTTGGGTGTACGTTTTTGAAAAGGGAAAATACTCGTTTGCGATTCACCAACTAGCCCAGTAGCCGCAAGCAATTAAGTTCCTATTATCTCATTGTTATCGCAAGTATCAGTTGGCGAATACTAGACACTTGAAATAAATGCGTGCTCAAGTCTTGTTGATATCATTTTAATTATTGAAACTTTGTCACGCACTTAAATGATAATGATTTTATTGGATGCAGGTTCGTTCGTCGTCGTTTCTAACGTTGTGATTTCGTGAGCCTGTTCGTAAAACATTTGGTTTTCGACGAAATCGCGCGCATTTTAAACTATTTTAATCGTGCTATAAGGAGAATCTTAATAACAACGAAATTTTTTATCCAATAGTAGATTTTCAATCGCTTCAACAGCTAATGGATTATTCATTTAACTACGTTACGGGCGCTGTATTTTGTGTTGGTCTTTTCGCAAAAAATATTTTGAAAAAATGTCTTTTCAGTAGCTAGTAAAATAAAAAACAAAGCACGTTGAATTTCAATAAGATAAATTAGTCAAAATCGAGGTCTATGAGCAAAATGCGATCGCGACCGCCACTGAAACTTAAGGCACTGTACATTGTAAATAGTTAGTACAGATTAAAGGCGAGGGAGTGAGAGAGAGAGAAAATTAAATTAATGAATAAAATGTTAATTGAAGTCAACGAGTCCGATTGTCATTTACACATTGTACACACGTAACAAACACAGTGACCGATAGCCGATATAAAAACACGAAATACATTTTTCACGAAACTTGAACAATTCTAATTGTTTACTGTGTCTTTTCGAACAAAACAGATATGTTAATAAATAAGTAATTGTTGACGTTGCTATGAAATAAGGTGCAATCGAGCAAAGTTAGTTGTTAATTCGATATATATTAGGCTGGAGAGCAAGTGCTGCGGACCTCGCCGATAGCGCGTCACGAGCCCACGAGATGCTCGATTAAGACTATGCCGAACGACGAAAATTGTCAAAAAAGGGGGGAAACGTCACACTTTTTGTACAAGTTTACACATATAAGCTGATTTTTTCACTTTTTCCAATTTTTCTGAACGCGTAATAAAATACTTTATATCAGTAGAGTGTGATGTTTCGAAGAAGTGATAACGTCAACGTGTAAATTATACGGCTCATACATGCATTCTAGTCTCACGTACGAGCGGTCCAAAATAATCATCTCGTTAAAAAGCTGGTAAGCAGCGATTGGGTGTATTGTCGCGCGCACTTGCATGATTTCGGCTGATTTTGTCGCAACGCAATGATGAATTACTTATTAAGCTCGTGCTACATTTGATGCTGTCAACAGATGCTGGAAAAAATTTTCAACAAAAAAAAGTGAAATAAAAACATATGGCAAACGAGAAAACGACATACAATATGGACAACAACAATAACTATCGAAACAATAAAGAGTATTATTCTATATAAAAATAATTCGAGCATCTTGTTTTTCCAATCTTTTTTACAATTCCTTTGAAATGTTTTCTTCTTTACTCATGAGGAGAGAAGGAACCTGAAATGGCAATTATTGAGCGATTACGACATGGAGTATAGATGTAATGTAATTTATATCGCAGCTATTTGGTAAGGTCATCGTTTGAATGCGTTGGAACAACGAAAAAATTCCCACGCGCAAACTCGTGTAGCAGTGCGAAAAATCAAAGTACATGCGAGCGAACGAGCTATGTGTACTGTCGCATAGGAGGGAGTTGTTGACCGTTGACACCGATTCTCTTTGCGCGCTCATACGTTTGGCATTTTCGTCGTTTCAGTATACGCATTTATGATGGAATTTGGTAAACGGCCGGCCCGACATTAATCGAGCAGTGAGAATTTTGCAGAGAAGCACTCGGGCATTTTGGAATTTTGGCTCGTTGACGCTGCGCCGCGCTGATCCAGAGGCCAAAACGCAACGATGCACCTGCAGTGTAGCCAAATGACTTAGATCCATGTTTCACGCAGGACGAGCCGGCCTATGGAACGGCACGAGGGGCCCTTGACGGGCTCCGATCCATCTCTGAAATAATCAGCGCCCCTAAGGTAAGATAAGCAGATGGCTGACTTTTGCAGCTTAATCTTTGGGAAAATATGCACTCGAGGTAGGTGACGTTGCTCGATCGGGACGATGGTGGTTGATCGAGTATCGAGCTATCGATAGCAAAGGAATCAATCTAATGCGTAAAATAGCTTTATTGGAACAAGTTGAATTGAATTGATCGATCGCGATCGTACTGTCTCGTACGAACGCACAGAGTTTACATGGTTGCGCGGGCGAGTAAAGTTACGATAATAATCCATGCATCGGCGTTTGCGATAGGATGCGCGATAAGGTCCGGGCAGGACGATGTACTGCTCCAGGGCAGTATAGCAGCTCGGCAGCGGCGGCGTCCAAGTAGTTGGAATCGGTCTCGCGGGTCTTTCGCTCGAGATCGTCGAGAGTCTCAGCGCCACAGCAAGCCGACGAGGTAGTAGGCCAGCAAGGCCAGCGCGGCGAGCAGACAGACGCACTTGCAAGGACACTTGCAGGGACACCTGCCGCAGCTACTCGACGAGCCGGCCCATCCGAGCGGACAAGCCGAACTCGAGGAGGAAGAGGAGGAAGAGGAGGAGCCGCGGCCAGCAGCGAAGGGACACCCGAACGAGGCCGAGGAGGGTCCGTCCGTCGACTCTCGCAGCACGTGGGCTCTTATGCCTCGCCAGTAGGTGAGGAAGTAGTCGTCCCAGTCGAGCTGGCGCACGTCGCTGAAGAACAGGGCCCGGTCCCGCTCGTTCAGTCGCTCGTAGGCTTTCAGGCTCTCGGTCACGCGCACCCTGTAGTTGCCGTTGGCCAGCCGCACCAGCCGGCACATGTCCGTCATGGAGCTGCGCACCAGGTTCCAAGCTCTGAAAAGGCCAATCATGAATTCCAGCCTCGAGTTCGAGGAGAGAAACAAAAGCAAAGAAAAGAGCAAAGACGTACTGAGCGGGATGCCCGTGCAGAAGAGTCAGCAGGTCGATGAGAAAGGCCGGCACGTAGTCGAAGATGAAGCGCAACACCAAGTAGACGATCATGTTGCCGGTCATCATCACGTACGGGGCGCGTCTCGCATTGCTCGTCGCAAAAGCCTGCGGGTCTTCCATCATTTTATCTTTGATTTGTCGCATGGTGATTGGCTTTTCCGTGCTGCTGCCAAAGTTGTATACAGAGGCGCCGGGCTCCGTTTGCCTGCGAGGCGCATTCGTGGATCGTTAATCGAGTCGATCGATCGGACGTTGAAAAGAAAAGAAAAAATACGCATATCTCACCAGCGATCTATAGCATCCCAAGCAGAGACCAGTAGGGCGTTGGCGCAGAGGTCGGCCGGCACCAGATCCAGTGGGTACTCGGATTGATAGACCACGTGGATGGCGCCTTTGGCAATTTTGAGGAAAAACGAGGCCGGCCCGTTGTTGTGGTCGCACCAGCCGGGTATCGGTTCCTTGTACGTCGAGATCACTGCGTCAAGCACAAGAAGAGGCAATGAGCCCGAGATGGAATTCAATTGGATTCATTGGATAACAATTACCGAGACTGGGTCTGAAGACGCAACAGGTGTAGGGGGCTCGCAGGGCGTGTCTCTGCACGAGATCCTCGGCGATGGCCTTGCCGAAGACGAAGACGTTGGGCCAGTCGCCGAGCAGCATGTCGAGGGCGTCCCTGGTCAGTCCGCTGGCGGTCTCGCTGTCGGCGGCGATCATGTCCTCGACGGCCCGCGTGTCGGCCGGCGCCGGGTAGAAGACCTCCTCGACGACGCGCCACGGACAGTGGGCGTAGGCCGACGACACCTGCACGAAGAGCTTGAGGTGCTTGCAGCCAGCGGCCAGGTCGAGCATGCGCTGGGTGCCGAGCACGTTCGCGCGCAGCGACTCGTGCACCGGCCCGTTGAGCCGCGTGTCCGCCCCGTTGTGCAGGATGATGTCGACGTTCTCCCTCAGCAGCTCGTAATCCTCGTCGCCGAGGCCGAGCTTGTCCAAGCTCAGATCGCCTTTCACCGCCTTGATTTTCTTTCGAAAGTCCGGTTGGCTTCTCCGCAGTCTCGAGAAAACCTACAGCAGCCAATTGCATTTTTTTCAACCTTTCTTTTTCAGCGAGCATTCGTGAAACTATTCTACGCTCGGTCCAGCGATCGACCTTCTACCTTTTACGACGATTACATTTTACCAAGAGCAATCGTACAATTTTGCCGACTTTTTTTTCCTTTTGCAAAATGAAAAACAAAAGGCTCCCCTACTCATCTTTGATCATCTTGGGCAAGTTGGAAGAAATTCTAACGTCATCGAGAAAGTACGTGAAAATTGCGAACGAGCGCGATGAAATAGTTTACAAACATTTACAATGTAAATGAGATGAATCAGCGACCTAGTGTACGCCGCCACAAACGCACTGCACTATATGAAACAGCTGACCAATGCTAATGACGCAGTAGCCCCCAATCAAAGTTTTTGTAATATTTTTGCAGCGATTTTTGCAAAAAAACGTACGCATTCGAACGATCGCGAAAGATGAGGATGGAAAAAAAAGGCGGCGAATTACTTATTGAAATTAAGTCAAACTCGCTACACTTACGTCGTCGCCGAAAAACTGTTTACACTTTTCGTGGAAATCCTCGCCTCGCTTGGTCCTCACCAGCAGGTAGATGGTGTTGAGGTCGCTGCAGTCGAAGAGGAGCTTCTCGACGAGGCACTTGCCCAGCATGTCGCTGGGCCCGGTAACGAGGACATTGAGCCCCGAGTAGAACTTGGCGAGCTCGCTCTCGCCGGTCTCCTGGGCTTGGATCTCCGTGTCGTCCCTCATCCGCTGGTAAATGGCGTCGACGACCGACATCTCGGAAGCAACTATCGCTCGGCTGGCAAACTTTTCTTCGGCCGACCGGGAGAGCGCGGACAAATGGCGCTAGCCGATAATCTGTCTCGGTGAATCGTCGCGGGTGCGCGTGCTCGCGAGGCCAGCGTGGCAATTATTTGTGACGCTATCGGCTCGTCTCCGTTGGCTTTTATATTGGCTTATAGGCCGATCGCCGTGCGGCTCGGTTCGAGTATACGCGCCTCGCTCAACGGCCATTGTCCCGCGTTAATAATGCCCGTATTATACGTTTACGCACTGGCCAGCGTCGAATGCCGTGGGGCTATTCTGCTGACGCACTCTTTTCCATTGCGCAACGTTTATTTACACCTATAGATATGTATGTACACTGTGTGCACCGCGCGAGCAGCCATCGCTGCCGATCCATCGAAAAAGCTCGCGACGATACCGAGCCTGCGATATCTCAAGCGGAGCAGCGACGTTCGCCACGGCCCGTTTGGCTTTTCTTTCAAGCTCGAGACTCTCGCCGGAGCCTCTTTACTCTATTGCGATTTCAAGCTCGCCTTCTTTTCTCTCTTCCCTTGTAAATCTCTTCGAGGTATTGTAGAATTAATCGATGAATATAGAGTAAACTGGCTGTTATTTTGGCTTACTGTTACAAATCCAAAGGCTTCAAACAAACGAAGCAAGTATAATGTGGGCCGGGATTTATTCGAATAAGTAGGCGAAATAATCGGCGACTATATAAAGTACGTTTATTATATTATAACTTAAAAGAAGATTGATAAAATTCGGGAGAGTAAAGGTAAGAGAACGAAATAAAGTAGGAGAGAAAATAAGACGGCCATAGTGGTGTAGTGAGCTCTCTTCAAGAATCGATAAGACTTGACAGCCTTTTCAACATTATCCAGAGGCTCCTTCAAGATATGTACACGTACGCCGCGTATGTATCTAATGCAGTAGCTGTACCAGTCGAGATTCTGGATGTCGAAGTAGAAGATCTTTTTGTCCATGGGGCTGAGCCTGTCGTGGAGCTTCAACGTGTTGGACATGTGGATGCGCCAGTTGCCGTTGACGAAGTAAAACACCTTGCTCAGATGCTTGGTGCCGAACCAGAACAGCGACAAGGCCCTGCGCGTAATCAATCGGCCAATTGTAAGAAACGTTATCGCAAAAACATTATGCTTGCCGCGTGCTATACCTCGGCTTTTTGCCCATTATCAAGAGCGCCAGATCGGCAAACAAGGCCGGCAAGAAGTGCAGAAAGGCGTGTCCGATCCAGAAGAGCCACTTTTTGTCGACGAAAAACATGAACGGGTACCAGAGCATTTTCATCGAGCCGATCTTGGGCGCCTCTTCCATCAGATAAACGCTCAAAGTGTCGAGGTAGGTCGGATTCGTCGTGCTGCTACCAAAGTTGTAGACGAGTCCGCGCCTTTCCGTTTTCCTGCGTACGTGAATAAAAAAACAAAAAAAAAAAGTTTGGTCAAGTGCGCTCGGAAGCAAGAGCTGCTACAAAACAACCGCTCGACAAGTTGCCTCACCATCTCTCGGGCAGATCGTAGATCGAGGCTATGAGGGCGTTATTGGCCAGATCGGCGGGTATCAAGTCCATCGGGTAGCCCAGGTAGTAGGTGACGTGCACGGCGCCCAGACCCGTGCCCATGAAGATGTAGGCCGGCCCGTTGACGTTGCCCACCCAGCCGTCGAGGGGCTCTTTCAGCGAGCAAGTCACTGCAAAGAATTCAGGCACGTGCTGGACTCTCGATACTTTCCACGATTCCGTATGAAATTGTTCTTACCGATGCTCGGTCTGTAAATGGCGCAGGGGAACGGGGCCGTCTCGCCGTACTGCCTGACCAGGTCCTCGGCCAGGGACTTGGTGAAGCAGTAGCTGTTGGGCCACTTGCCGAGCTTGAGCTTCATCACGTGCTCGGGCAGTCCGTTGGGGCTCGCCTCGTCGGCCTTGATCAGCTCGTAGACCGAGTCCATGTCGGTCGGCGCCTGGTAGAACTTCTCCTCGATGTCCTGGTTGTAGCAGTGCGAGTAAGCCGTCGAGACGTACATGAAGGACTGGGTGCGCTTGCCGGCCAGCGCCAGGTCGAGCATCGACTTGGTCGCCAGCACGTTGATCTTCAGGGCCACGCTGATGAGCTCGTCGAACTTGGTCGTCGCGCCGTTGTGCACCCACAGGTCCACCTCGTCGATGAGCAAGCGCCGGTCCTCGTCCGACAGCCCGAGCTCGGCCGCCTGCAAGTCGCCCCTTATCGTCACCACCTTCTCCTCGAAGTTTGGCCGCATCTTCCTCACCCGGTCGAATATCTGCAATTTTCGTGCGACCGTTTCAGTTATACGTACGAGAGATGCTGCTTTCTATTTCTCCGTGTTGAACGACATTTTCTTACGCGGCTTTTCACGCCTGATAATTCATGCGTATCCCATCTTTTTGCTCATTTCGCCACGACCAACCACTTGCCGATACAATTATTAAAACGGTAAAAATCCATGCTCTTGGCATTTAATTTATCATGGTATCAAACAAACTCAATGAAAATGTACCTTCGTAGATAAAGTTGCACTTGGCTATTTTTTTAAATGTCTATAATCGCATTCCTAGTCGTTTCATTTAAATGCTTGGGAACCAGCCTTAAAATTTGCAATTCAAACTTTACACTCGTTATGTCGAGCTTGCATTCGGATAGCTTCGTTGCATGGCCATCAGGGTCAGACAAATCTTTAATATTCGTTTGAAATATCGGTTCAAAATCAAAACTTTCCCGGGCTTATGACTGATGAAATGTATTTTTAATTACACTATTCGAAATTCTCCTCAATGATACAAAACAATTCAAGCTCAAAATTTACTTTGATGAAAATCTAAGTTGTCGAATGTTTCAAGAAATTATTTCAATTAAAATAAAAAATATTGTAATATTACTTTTTTCTGATTACATTATGCTGGAGCTGGAATTAAGATTTTCTGTATAAAAGTAGAAGAATTATAAGGCTTAATTCTTTAATTTTTCAAAATACATTCTACGCGATTAGATATGCATTTTACATTGCATTATATACACGTGCAATGTGATTGTATTGCATTGTGTTGCATTAATACATTGCAAGTCTAAAAATTTTCAAATTTAATTTACGTTTGTTTTTGGTGTTTTTTGGACACTTGAATTTAAATGTGATTATTCTGCTTCATAATTGCAATTTTATTTTTACTTTGCTGTAGTGCAAGAATTATTACGTCTTTTTTTGGTATTGAAATAATAGAGCAAGTACGAAAGCATATGCACGAAAGCGATCCCATTAGTAAATTCAGTTGAATACGAAATTCAGTTGCATAAAAGCTTGCGTGTGAATTTTTAGTAAATTCATGTGCATCACATAAGAAATTGAAACAAAGACAATGAAACAAGTGGACTTGGAACGATTGACGACAGCGCATAACTGACCAATAAATTAAAACGATGCCAATGCATGTGCGTATTAACATTCAACGCACTCGTAAATAAAGTGCTGTACGAAAAACAAAAAATCTTGTCTCAACTATGTCAAAAAATGTTACTGAATAACCAAAAATCAAACCTTATTTAAAAAAGTATACTTGAAAGAAACGTCGTCGAAAACAATTTCCCTTGACCTTTTTGTTCAATATAAATATGTTAAAAGCAAAGAAATATCAAATAACAATGACGAAATGTAGGAGTTGAGCCAAGTAGTTTGAAATAACAAATAAAATGCAGACTTTTTGACATTTAAAGCTTTTGTAAGAGGTATGAGACGAAGAAGATATACTCACAATATTTTGAAAGTATTTCTTCATTTTCTCCTCGGGCGGGACGCCCTTTTTCTGCCTGACAAGCACGTAGAGCTTTTTAAGCTCCGGTATGTCTCGGAGAACTTTCTCGACGAAGCATTTACCCATGAAGCCGGTGGCCCCGGTGAAGAAAATGGTCTTGCCAGCAAAGTATCGGCGTATGGCGCTGGTGCCCTGGGGCAGACTCTCCTCCATCTGCTCGGTGTCGTCCTTCATGCGCTCGTACATCTGGTCGACGATCGACGTCATTTTGGTGGCCGGCTTTTCGTCGAGCTTCGTACGAGACTGTAACGCGACTGCGAGACTGAGCGCGCAGGCCAAGTCTAACCGGCCAGTCCAAGAGCGCTCTTTGTTGTTCGTTCTCGAGCGTCAAAGACGCCTGGAGTCCGCCACTGCGGCGATGCAACAGACGCGACGCGGCTGCTCACCACGCGGACGTTGCCTGCCTGCACGCACTTACCGATGTGCTCGAAAATTCCCGATCCCCTATTGTGAATTAACGCCGTCGGGACGCCCGATGATGCCTTGGCCCGCGTGAATCGGCCTCGCGACGAGCTTGCGATTTTATCGTGCATCGCCAATGGCCAAAGCCACAGCGATCTTATCATCTTATCACCTACTACGTCCATCGGAACGAAAGCGAGTATTGCAACTTTTCGGAAAAGCTTCATCGAATCTCTTCCATTGAAATAAACTCCACTGCATTTTATACTTTCCACGTACCTCCGACTTTCAAATAATTTTCGAGCAATTAGATGGAGCCAATTTCCAACCAGATTTTCGCTCCATTTAAATAACAATTAGTTTTGCGTATTTCCGTTCTTTCAACAAACAATGTAATATACACACTTTTGAGGTCATTGATCTGAGCCCAAGTACGAGCTATGCAAAATACTTCAAGTGAAAATATATTAATTGTAGATGTCAATTTTGTCCCTACGCCATATGGTTTAAACATTTTTACTTGAGCATTTATACTTAATACGTATAGGTATCACCTATTACATTTTTTTTTTTTTTAAACGGCTAAACTGATAAGTAATCTCTGTCTTAATTGAAACTTTCTAAAATGATACAATGCATGACGATCGATTGTTACCAAACATTTGATAAGTTAGGGGCACTATTATAGATGTTGGAGTAAGACCTCACTTTGTTACGACTCTCTGAATTATTCATTATTTTCAAATCTTTTCAAATAGTCACTGCGCGCGTCGGATTTATGAGCTATGTGACTAAAAAGTGACGTTTCAGTTCATAAAAAAATTTCATTGTCCCGAACAAGTGTTCCTACGAGAGTTAATCTTTGCGAGATATCAAAACTCTGGTATGAATGGAAATTTTCAAACACGTATTCCACTGAATATTTTCAATGAGCTACGCGAATATCCAAGATTAAATAAACAAAGACTTTCATGAATTTTTTCAAATAATATATCCAAATTCAGCCGAAAAAGAGTTTTAATTTTTACTCTATAATTGCACTGAATCACAGCATAATGAAATTCTGTCAGTCACAGAAAATTTTTTGGTTTGTATAAATCAAATCGTTTGCAAAATTTGATTTAAAAATTATTTGTTTATTTTTTTGTTTTAATCGAGAATCTGCAGAGCTATTTTTAAATGCATCCGTTCAAAGAACTTTAAATGACTTGGAATCGATAAAAACTTGTAGTGATTTTGGGGCATTTGTAAAGGCACACACTCACTTTTTGTTCTAAACGTCAGACTTCCGGTGTCCCGCATTTTTATCGATTGCATCGTGCATTTGAGTCGAATCCGCCGGCTCGGTACAAATTGCATGCCATACCCGCTTTACTATTCGTTAATCGAGATATTATTATTGTTCGGTTTGAGTTAAAAAAACTACTAAATGAAATTGAATAAAACATGAGTAAGGAGAGGCAAATCGTTTGGGTTTTACGCAGCTCAGACAGGATCGTTCGAATCTATGCCAGCCGGTGAAAACCACTGCAGAAATTTTTGGCGGGCCTTCGCAGTCCAGGTAAAGAGACACTGAAGCTGAACAGAGATGCGAGACAGCACTCGAGTATCAGGTACTGACGGTGCGATGGGGTCTCGCTTCAGTCGCAGCTCAGCAGTCGGCGCTCGCTGATGAAACGATGCGCCGCGCGGCAAGTATAATGTTGTGTACTCCAGCCTAGTGCTGTACACGGTACACCCACCGACGTCAAGAGCACGTTGCTGCCTCTGAGTCGGCTGCTGCTCGAAATTCGCCACGATAAGCATCCCAAATCACGCCGAACCTCGCAAGGACGAAAGTTCGTTTCGGAAAGATGGCAGGAGCCTTGGCAGCAGCGGTCGAAGAGATGGCCTCTGATTACGCTGCCTTCGCCAGCCTGGACATGGAAAACGAGGTATCCTTTACTTTAATCTCTGCCTGCGAAAGGCGATGCAAGTTCGTGTACGCTACGCGTACGCACGACGCGTCGCGCAGTCAGCATCGTGTCAGCTCGTTTTTAAAAGCCAACTTGCGGCTTGAGCTGCTTGCGTTTGGTATGACTGGCGCTGTTTGAATTTTTGCCGCCATAGCGCCTTGACGCGGCATTCAATCTCATCCTCTTTATAACTTCCTTTTTTGTAAGCTTGGACGCATCCATGAAGCTGTCGAGGACATGCAACTACGGCTCGAGGAATTTTCCTCCATTGTCGGAATGGTACGTAAATATCAAAATCCCGACAATACAGTTATTTTGCGTGCACTAACGATACAATTGGAGCTGATAATTAATTAGATTTTTGTTCGCAGCAACAAGCAAAAAATGATAAAGCTGTGACGGTAAACGTTACACGTTTTGCAGACCTACGACCCTTCGTTAACGATCTAGCTTTACGCGTCGAAGCCCTTGATAATTTCATTCAAAGAGTAAACGCTGATCTTACTGTTTTGGAAGCCAACATGGATCTTGCCGAAGCTTCCTACAGTTCCGAAAGTAAATTTTCCAAACTTAATCCATTCGCCTTATTCGTAAGTATTTATGCCTCTCACTGAAATTCAATTAATATCTACTCACATATTAATACTAATTATAATACTTCGTATTTTATTTCCCGTTTTCATTTTTTAGCAGAAAAAAACCTCCGAATCGGTATTGCAACAACCATCCGTAATAAACTACGAACCACCAGAAATTTTCAAAAAAGACGATTATTTTCAACCGGATACAGTTCAATAAAATGAATTTCACGTGATTTCAAATAATCGAAAAATGCTTTATTTTCAGTAAGGAACCATAAACATAATTAAACTCCTTAATACTTTTGTACTTATCAATAATTCTAGATGAAATTCTCGCTTGTGTAAATAAATGTAATTTTGTTGTATGCGTGTTCATTTTTTTTCTCTTGACACTATTTCATTCAATTCTAAAAATCAAAATGTCAAAAAAATGTTATCCCCAAAATTTAAATGTTCAAATTTTTTTGTTCAAACATTTTAATAAAACGTTTTATTATTAATCAAATTTTGTTTTGTCATGCTTTTGAAAGGGAAGCAAGGTCTTTGAAAAATAACAGCAATTCGAATTTCATTTTAAATATCTATCTCATAACAAGTTTTTATACAACAAAGTGTGTGTTTGTAAGACACGCATTCAGCCCTTCACGAACTGAATTAGATTCAAAATAAATATGGATACATTCTTTGAAAGAACGATTCCGTTGAATTTTAAACACGAAAAATATTCATGATCAAGAATGTCATAAGCCTCAATGTTAAATGAAGGAATTATAATTTTCATTGTAGCACTTCGCGCAAAAATAGTAACTTTTATCTATACGTTTCAGTGTTTATTTATAGAAAATAACTTTCCATTATAATTAATTTAAAAAACTTTAAAAATTTTTTAATTTTCAATTGAAATGATCAATTTTTATGCCTATACATTTATACGGTTCTGATAATTAACTCAAGTTTTACATCTTCTAGAATCTTTCAAGCTAGATTCGTAAAAATATACTCTAGGTGCTGTTGAAGTGCATCACAATCCAGAATAACTTATTGCATACAAAACTATTAGTTATGAAAAAAGATGTGACGGTTATCCGTATAAAAAACTATGAGCTAATTTTTTTGATACATGAACACGATGTGTACATGATGCAGGTGTCGATTAGAAATTGCATAATTTCAGAATAGTGAAAAAAGAAGTACAACCAGAGATCCAGGGCATGGTGGTATTTACAGCATCATAATAAACACTGTTTAGAATTTTAAAACGGCTTTAACGTTACGACGATGCTCTCTTTTGAGGTTTCTGTCCTTTGACAACAGTTGGTCGTCCTTTGATATATCCTTTCTTTTTTCTGCTAGTCTGTAACAATTAATAATTATCCCCCCCATTCTTTTATTATGTTTTCATATTTATTTGTTCATCAATGGATAAAGTTGAAACGATACGATAAAAAATTCATGAAGTATTGCATTTCTGAAAATGATAAATATTACTCACTTTTCTGCTGATGTATGAACTCGTTTGACGACTTATGGTACGCTTCGTGATCGGTATTCTAGGTCGATTAAATTCGTTTGGTTTTTTCACCCTGAAAATGAAATTATAATAATTTTTTTGCAAAATTTTTAAAGTGCATTCAAATTTAAGAAGAAAATGCTTGCTTACCTGTAAACTCTAACAAGCCAGTGCTCAGTCGTGTAAGCTTCTTCCAAGTAAGTTAGTTGGAAATTTTTATTTCCAATTTCAGCATTACGGGTTCTATCGAAACCAGTTGGCGATCGGTAGTCCATTTTAACTTCACCAAACCGGTAATAGCTTAGTTTGTACATGAGAGAATTTAGAAGTGTTGGTGAAGCCTCCGAATCGACACGAAATTCTCCTCTTTCAGTAAAGTAATCACTTTCACGAATATCTTGAGGGTGTTCACCTTCAGCGATTCGAACCATCCATAAAAATTTATTAATATCGTCACCCGAATAACCGATCATTCCACCAAATATGACTAGCACGTAATCAACGTCTAGAGACGTCATTATTTCATAAGCTGCACTTTCATTAGAGCTCATTGCTTTTCCAACAAGAGCTATGTGAGAATTGTTCCATGTATTATTGTCTACTAAAGTAGTGCTAAAATAAAAAAATTACTTGTTAAAACTGACTCAGTATGACTATTCAAGACTTTTTAACAATAGGCAAAATATTTTTACCGATTTGCCATTCCAGCTATTTGATATCCATAATCCCACCAACTCATAACTCTAGCATCAGTATGAGTATTCTGAGATAGCCAATAGTAGGCTTCTCTAAAATCATCAAGGATTGCTCTTCCTCCCTCATTACTATACGAAGCAAGTACAATAGAAGGACTGGAATAGGCATTGCTAGTAACCCAAGTACAATGAACTGTAAACATCATCAAAAGCATCAGTACAAAAATAACAACTGCATTGCGCACATTGGCTCCTAATCCATCTCCATTTCCTTTAGGCTTTTCATGTTTCATACGTCTAAGTTTCCCAGCTTTATCATATAAAGCTCGTCCTGGGCTACGTTCTTGTTCACCATCACTTTCTTCTTCTACAGCATTCGTTCCACTCTCTTCACGATCTTCTTCTTTTAAATACAATTCAAGTAATCCACTAAATGCTATGCCTGCTAGCATACAAACTACAGGTGTTAGGGTAAGCATAAGACGAACCATAACACCTGCAAAATAGACAGCACTAATGGCATACAGTACCACTGAAAATTCATGAAATTGTATAAATATTTAATAATAATTAAGTCTATCTTTATAAATTAGAAAAGGGATTTACCAAACACTCGTTCGTCATTGATATGTTTAATACAATACCAAAGACCAACTGGGAAAGTTGTAACCAATATGTGTAGATCAAAGAAGAAACTGAACCAAGTCGTTGGTTGATGCTCCGATACTGAAGCAATAATGGGAATGTGAATTTTAGCATATCCTGTATCCCAAAGTGAGTAAAATCTTCCACTCCATGGTGCTACAAATCCAGCATATGTCAGACCAATTAAAACTGTCAAAAATACTAGAGTGATACCAATAACTATGCCACCAAAATATTTCATCTCTGCTTTGGTCATGAAAGTTCTTAAGTATCTGTAAAAATCATCAAAAATTTATAATTTTAACTGAATCAAAAGAAGAAAGAAAAATAAAGATGCATTTACTTTAGACCCCCAATGAGAAACATTAAACAAAATACACCACCAGCAGCCATATGTTCAGATGTTCTTATTGGTTGGAAACCAACAAATGGTATTTGCATGCTGAATAAAAGACCTAGTATGTAAAATACTGTATAAGCTGTGAATAATCTAACACTGAATCGATTCATGACAAGTAATGCAAACACATGAAGAGGTATTAAGTTTATAATAAAAACATATCCTCCCCATGCTGAAACCATGTAAAAATAAGATAGGGCAGTTAATGTAGCCCATAAAATGGAGCCTGTTTTCACTGATTTGACCCATAAGTAATATGTTATTTGTAAAGCAAATATAGCAATTCCTTCATTGTCATAACTACCCGCTACTGATCTGGAAATGTAACCAGGAACAATGGCAATGAAACACGCAGCAAATAGGCCAGCCCCAGAACTCCATAATTCTTTTGTAAGAAAATAGGTAGATATAGCAGTGAGACCACTAAATACTGGGGCCAAAAATACACAAATATCTCTGATATGAACAGGTATATTCAATGAGTGCAAGATATAATGTATGGATCCAGAAGTAAGCATAAGTCCTGGATATACTGTTCCACCAACAATTCTTCCTAAAGGATACCATGCTCTTTCATCGAACCAATTCAAGAAATTATAGAAACCATGTTCTACCATATAAGCTGTTGCTCTGTAATTAAACCTGTAAACAAAATTAAATGAATGAATTTTTATAATTTTATGTACTTTATTGAATGAAATAGGTAAACTTATGAATAAAAATAACCAAGTTTTGCTCCGTAAAATTAATTGACATGATTTTGAGGGTTAATTTTGTATTAATTTAATTTGCAGCGTATAATAATGATAATAACAATAAATATGCGTAAACTGTCGTATGCCGGTATCTATGAACACGAAGATAGTGTTAAAAAAAATTCGTACAAACATAAGGTGTAATCGCTTTTGTAAGTCAAGTAATTTAAAAATTAATCATTGCAAAAAAATTTGGCAATATCGCAGTTGCCACGTTTGAGCTAAAGTAGCTGATAGGTTTGCAGGATTGGCTACATGCACATTGACCGAAACGCTACAAACATATGCACAGATTCGGCGACCCGGTGTTAATGCAACGTAAGCCCAGAACGATCAAGTAAAATTAAAAAGGCTATTTTAGCTTAAATTCAAAATCATAATATTTTGTTGGGAGAGACAAACCATGGATCAAATTCGTGGATGATGCTCTCAAAACGAATGACCGCAAAAAGTCTGGATGCGAAGCCAGATATCCAGGCAAGCAAAAGAACCGTGAATATGATGAGGGAATTGAGACCAGCTATGTTGGTCAAGCCAGACGATTTCACCTGCTTGGCTGGGACTTTTTTATCAGGAAAGAGGACTTTTTTGCCGGCCGTTTGAGCCGGGGCACCAGCTTGCGTCTTCGTCGTCGAAGGTTGCATGGCGGCGCACTATAACACACGCGCACCCAGCTCGTTTTTCTGTATCAACAGCGAATTTTAACCTTCCATTCGATCGCTACGGATCGGCGTCGACAATGTTCTGCTCCACGTATTATGTTTTCTGCGGCGTTGCCTCGTTTAAGTTAAAATTGCTACCTTTCAGGCACGATCAACGAAGCGATTTATCAGCAGACAGAATGGCACACAGACAACTCACCGCGCCACAGCAGTAGTCGACGACACTCGTCGATACTATCATGTAGCTATAAGTACTCGACACACACTTGTGTGCTTTATACACGCCGAATATGCGGTAGTATTGTGTATTTTACTCGGAGTCTTATGCCGTGTGAGCTGCTTTTCCATAATTCAGACAACCGAGCCAACATCCAAATAATCTGCGACACGTCAAAAGCCGGCCCCGGCCCCGTTCAGGTTCACCAACTTTACAGATTCACGCAGGCGCTTTCTCGCCAACTTTCTGAATTCACGAATCGCATTTGAATTTTCTAAACACTTCAACAAGTCTTATGAAATAACAAACTTTTTTTCAAACACTATCATCAATCACGTTCTATTTTTTTAATGGTTTTTTATACAGAAGACGATATAACATTTATTTACAAAATAATGAATTATTTTATTTATCAATCTTTTATACATAACTTAAATAATACAAAATAAATGAAGCCGCAATTTAATAACTTCCATCATCATATATTAAAATACTTTTCAAAAATTGTTGAGACATTGAGACAGTTTAAAAAAAAAACCATGTAAAAACAATGTATTATCAGTTTTTCACATTGATTTCTGATAGACAATAAAGTATTTATATTTGTGTAAATGTATGTATTAATTTAATTGTATAACTAACAAAAGTTACTATTAAATTACCACTTTTTAATTAAAAAATTTAAAAAGAAATCACTCAGTCTAATACACCATTTTAGCATAAAATAGATCTTCCCAATCATTACTATTCTACTATAATACATTGAAAATAATTACAATTAATTAATACATTTAATAGTGTATAAGATGAGTTATTTTCCATGTCAAAATTGATAATTAACAATTGTTATATATAATACGGTCTACTAATTTTGCTAATTTGATCATTGGAATTTTTTTTAAATAAGTCCTTAAAAAAAAAAGCAAGTAAAACATGATCACAACTTTGTAAATCTCTGAATCTTTGAATGTTCTTGGTATTTATGCAGAGAATCTAAGTTGTCCCACCACTCTAACAGCTGATTTTCTAGAATCAATTTAAACCAAGGTGTCAATGGAGAATCAATACTTTTAACAAAATTAGAGACATCTGCTCGTGATATCCATTGTATTTCACTTATTTCGTCTGGATTTGGATCCAAAGTAACCTTTTTGACTTTTAAAAAAAGTACATAATCAATCTCATGTTCTCCCCAAATATTGCACCCTGCTGCTTGATAGTGAATTCTAGTTAAATATTTAAAATCATCGATTGCCACTTCTTTTGCTGGAATACCTAGTTCATAACCAAGTCTTCTTTGGGCAGCTCGACGAATTCCTAATGCATCTTTTTCTTCTGTCTCACCTTCTATTTCTGCTAATGGATGACTACAGCAAGTATTTGTATAGAATCCAGGAAAAGTTATCTATTTGAAACATAAAAATTTTATTTATAATAAAATATAGTAAGTAAATATTTTATTAGAGAAATAAGAAGAAATAAGTAAGAAACCTTATTGGCTGATCTTTTTTGTATTAATAAGTCTCCTTTGCTATTAAATAGAAAAACACTGAAGGCTCTGTGCAGCGGTATACTACCATCCTTTGCAATGAGATGGCAATGTTTTTTACTAGCTGCACCAATGACTTTATCAAAATTGTCAACAAGAATGCAACGTTCCTCAAGAGCACTCTTTTGCAATGGAGCAATCTGCATTTTGGTATGATGAGAACGCACACTAGTGAGCTCTTCTTTCAAAAGACTGCATATTCTTCTAGCCACAGACAACATCATCTTTTTATATTTTCTACAGTAAAATACAGTACAAAAGCAGATTATTGTCCTGAAACGAAACAATGAGTTTAAACTGACAGTATAAAAAAAGCACAATTGTTATGAGCAAAATGAAAGGCATTGACGCTCGACGTTACCTCAAGCAAAGCTGACGAACCAATGCAGACACTGATGAGCAGATAAAAATTAAAATATTTCAATATGTTGATTATCATTTAAAAAGTAGGTATTTCTTTTTTTTTCGTTCTACGTTATGACAGTTAGGTAACCTATACAACTAGTATCGCGTTTACGGCATACCTAATACCTATAGTCTTGAAACTTTTTCTTTACTCCACTCCATACGTCACTGAGTGTTTGTCATTCTTGCCAGTTCGCATATTTAATCGAGAAAGAGAAGGAGCGACTTATTGCGCGAAGGAATTTAACTTTCCTTTCAATGTTCGAATGTGTATACATGTTACGTACGATATATATACACATACATCTATATGTATTCATATGAATGAGTCGTCTTTAGCATACCGTTATGTATACTACATCTGACAGTATCACACTTTCGCATCTGCTGAGTCTGAAATTAATTAAAACCTAACAAAGATAATCTGACTCAAAGTCAGACAATAACGAGTCTGTGTTTACATACAAATCTATAATAATGAGTAATAAAATGCAGTTGACTTCATCACATACATTATTACGTACTTATTTTTAAAAAACCTTTGAGCGATCCAATATCGTGACTTTTCAAAAACTCGCACCTGTATTATAACTTTTAAAACCAGTCTCTGATAAAAAATGTATAGATGAGAAGTTAGATTGAAGTTCACTGTACATATCATATACGATATTAATTAATAATGTTACCAGTAAACTTATTGAAATAATAATAATAATAATAATAATAATAATAATAATAATAATAATAATAATAATAATGATATTAATATTAATAATAATAGTGCTCAGCAACTTAGTTTCTATAAAATATTATAAATTTTTTATTTTTAATTTTATTTACAGCAAAAAATGACGGCTGAAATCATAAATACCGTATGTGTTGCACCAATGGAGTACTGAGGCAGCACCGTGCACTACTGATTTCCATGTTTTAACACGTTTTGACACGGTTACGCCCGGTTATGTTTACGTTTTCATTAGTTAACCGGGTCAAGCTCTCTTTGGAGTATTCATAAGTTTTTTAAATAATAATTTTACCTAAACATAATTTGCATCATAAGTTTCTTTCAAACATGTCAGAAGACAAAGCCATATTCCAGGAATTCAAATTAGATCCTGATAATGAGCTACGTTTTGAAGTAGAGGATAAAGATGAAAAAGTAACTTTAGAGGTTTGTTTCTTTCTTTTTTATCATCTTTGTAAGTATACAAACGATTTAATCTTGACATTATGTCTGATAAAATTTTAATTTTTAGTTGAAAAGTGGTCTTGCAGAAGTTTTTGGAACAGAACTGGTAAAAGGCAAAAAGTATGAATTTACTTGTGGATCCAAAATTGCCGTTTATACTTGGCAAGGTTGCGTAGTTGAATTAGGAGGTAAAACAGGAGTGAGTTATGTGTCCAAAGAAACTCCCATGAGTTTATATCTGAATTGTCATGCAGCAATGGAAAGATTAAGAGAAACAGCTGAAAAAAATGATTCTAGAGGACCTATCTTAATGGTTGTTGGTCCTTGTGATGTAGGCAAATCAACATTGTGTAGACTTTTATTAAATTATGCTGTAAGAATGGGAAGGCGACCTATTTATGTGGATTTAGATGTAGGACAAGGACATATTGCTATACCAGGAACAGTTGGAGCTTTACTTGTTGAAAGACAATCTAATGTTGTTGATGGATTTAATCAACAAGCACCATTAGTATTTCATTATGGACATAAATCACCACAAACAAATATAGTTTTGTATAATCTTCTTGTAACACGATTAGCTGAAGTTTGCTCAGGTAGATTACAAGGAAACAAAAAAGCTAAAGCTTCAGGCATAGTTATTAATACTTGTGGATGGGTTAAAGGTGGTGGTTACAAAATTTTGACTCATGCTGCTCAAGCATTTGAAGTTGATTCAATTCTAGTTTTAGATCAAGAAAGACTTTACAATGATTTAGCTAGAGATATGCCAGATTTTGTAAAAGTGGTATTTCTTCCAAAAAGTGGTGGTATCGTTGAAAGATCTCAAGCCGAAAGAAAAGATAGCCGTGAGCAATCCATTAGAGAATATTTTTATGGTTCTAGAACTCCATTATATCCTCACAATTTTGAAGTGAAGTGGAGTGAGGCAAAATTATTCAAAATTGGGGCACCAATTGTACCAACATCGTGTCTTCCATTAGGTATGAAGACTGAAGACAATGTAACAAAATTAATTCCAGTAACTCCAGGGCCTGGATTATTACATCACATACTATCAGTATCATTTGCTGATTCTCCAGAAGATGATGTAGTACAAACAAATGTTGCAGGATTTGTGTGTGTGTAAGTATAAAATTACTACATTCTGTTCATTGACCAATATTTTGAAGTTAAATATTTTTTCAGAACTAACGTTGATGTTGATCGTCAAACTTTTACTATACTCAGTCCTCAGTCTAGACCATTACCGAATCATATTTTATTACTTAGTGAAATACAATTTATTGATACTCTATAATTAGTAGATTACTGCATATTCATTAATATATTCACTATTTTTACAATAAAACAGTTTTTGAAATTTTTTGATTTCATGTATTTTATTTTACCTGAAATTCCGATTATATCTATTTCAGAGTATTCCTATAAGACACGTTCTAATTTCAAATTATAACGGTTAAGTTCAAATCGATATAAATACTTACCATGCGTAAGAGTTCGGTTAGTTTGAATATTAAAACTGAGACGAAAGTCACGGAAAATGTCTCAATCTGAAAGTTTGAATAGCGAAGGTCCAGATATTTTTAAATTCGAACTACTTTTACAAGAAAAATTAAATGAATCAATATGGAAATCGGTAACAGTTACACAATTATTATTAATAAAAATGATCCCGAAAATTCAATGTGAATTATAGAAAGCACTGGAACAATCGCAGCAAGAATTATTGAAAGTTCGTCAAGATTTATTGAACAAAGAGTTAATTTTGGAAGAGAATAAACGAACCATCGACGATTTGAAAGTACAGTTGTCATCCGCTCAAAAAGTAGTCGAAATGAATGAGAAGGAAAAAACCAAGTACATAAACGAACGCTTGCAACTGCAAATCAACTGCGACGTTGCCATGAAAGAAAGGGAATCTTTATTGCATCAAGCTCACATGGCAAAATATGAAAACATGACTTTAAAATTAGATCTACAAAAACAATCGGAGACAGTTACAGCTCTTGAGTCATCAAAAAAAACGTTGGAGTCATCTTTAATCGAAATCAAGGAAAGATATTCTAAAATAAATAGTTCTTTGCAAAGGTAAATAACTGCTGTAAAACCTTCTCTTTTACCCATGACAATTTAACATATGTTTTCATCATTGAATATTCAATTCAGTAATATTTCAAAATTAAAGCAAGAGCACGAATTTTTATTGAAATCTGTTGAAGTTGCAGTACATTTAAACAAACGCTTACAAACTGTAGGCCTGTGTGCTCACTCTGTTTTTCAAAAACAAAACGAAGAAATAGCGAGATTGCGAAAAGAGTTACTTAACAGGAAAAGTGATTTTTGGAAGGAACAAGCTGAAACTAATCAAAAAACCATTGGTTGTAGAAAAATTAAAAATATGGATTTGCAGGTATTAACTCTAATAATTCAAACAAACGGTTTTTATCTGATTTTCTAAGAAATTGTCGTTTCAAAACTTATTAGAAAACAATCATTCATTTTTATTTAAACAAAAAGTAAAAATTTTGTACAGTCTCTGTGAGAATAAAAATTGTTGTATAAAAAAGTAGTTTTACAATCTTATTTAGCGAGTTTCAAAATTTTTTTTTAATACGTTGGGAAGCTTCTTGTAAGTGAGAAATAATTGTATGTACTTCTAGTAACAATTGACAATTTGATATTTCAATGGTTAAACTAATGTGGAAACGTACAACATAAATATTTACATTAAATAAAAAGAAATCATTTACAAACATTATTTTGATTTCCTTTTTATCTAGGTTACTTTAGACCAAATAAGGAAAGATACTGAAAAAAGTCATGAAATCGATATGGAGGTAGAAACTATACTGAAAGAACACGAAATTTTTTAAATAATATTTATATATCATGAGAATTTAAGAATTGGATTGATGGGGTTGATGACTTTCTTCAAATGTGTAAGTTTGCTCATAAATGTGGGAATACCATAACATATATCATATTTAATAATTAATAGTCATTTGTATATTTAGAATAAAATTAAACCACATTGGATTATTCAAAATGCAAAATAGTTAAGAATACGCGAGCTGTGATAACAACAAGCTGATGCTATAAAAATGATTCATATAGGACCTCTGTACATACTTAAATCAACTTAATTTTCTAAACACAAACTTTTTAATGTAACAAAAGAATTTAATCTTGTACAAAATGGATACTTGCAAAATTATCCGAGCCCTCACCTGCACCTACGTAGACGTTTAATTAACGTTTTATTAATATTTTTTGTCTGATACTCATTGTATGATAGACCTAATCATGTTTTGAGTTTTTTGTATTTTCATTTAACAAATATGCTAAAATTACATCATCATGAATGCTTATAAGTTTAAATTCAATTTGAAAAAAATTTACGAATCAACAACAATGTAAAAAATTACCATGGTCAATTTGTAGCCCAAGTTGTAGTTTTTTTATACTCTATTCAGATTTCAATAAATTAATGAAGTACTAATTTAAAGTATATGTAAAAGGCATGTATCAATTATTGCTAGCAGTTTCTTAACAACAGCAAAACTTTTTCACATACTCGAAATCAGAGATAGAACAATTGAAACAATGGCGTGTAAGACGACCAATAAAGATCAAAAAAACGTGTCAATACAAAACGATTAAAAAATATTTTTCTTGATTCGCTACTTTCATTGACTAACGAATGCTGACTAAATTTTAGAACTTACTTAAGCAAATTATAAAGACAGTTAGACCATTTTTTGTTTGTATCTTAATTTTTTGCTCTTGGCTCATTGTTCGATACTTGTAGCCAATATCAAATTTTGTGTGATAATATAAAATTTAGAATAAAAATTTTACTTCGTACATCAAATTTAATAAAGAGAAATTTTGTAATTTAGTCTATGAAGTCAGTACAATTTTGTCCTCAAAGTTTTGGACAATGGTGTCGATTATTTTGTATAATTTATAAAAAACATAACCCAAGTAATAAAATATATTATTCACTGTCAAGGAATACCATCAAAAAACACCTTGAAGGGCACATGCCCATTGCAAATCTGTTCTTTGAACAGAAGTTTCGTTCGACATAAAGAACGTAAGTAGACAACAGCAGTAGACAAGTGGGCCTCAGAGTTGCATGAGAAAAATTTAAAGGGTCAAAGTATAGAACAACGTGAAAATAGGCTTGGTGGTTTTCTTTGAGGTTCTATAGCTTTGAGTTGATGACCTCCACTTTTTGGTGGGTTTGATGCCTCCTGAAAACCAAGTAAAGAATAGAATAGATAAGTTTCATTCAATAACTTATATAATTCTTATTATTGAACAATTTTTTTATAATTTATCCACATGAGTAGAGTAAAAAATATAATAAGATACTTTTTCAGTAAAAGATTGATTTAAATTTAAGTCAGCTTTTAAAAAGATATAAAAAAAATAAGTTCATATAATAAAACATACGGGCTAGAAAAATATTAATTGTAATAAACCTTGTCACATAAAATGATTATATTAAGTTATAAATAATGAAGCATGACCCAATTAATTGCTTAAGTAGAGAAAATATGAGCTGAATATAGTTTAAAATTGTTATTAGGTGATAAATGGTAAATGAAGACAGTTGTGGGAAAGTTACCTTCTGCCAGTATAGACCCGCACCAAACACAGAGGAAAAGAGGCATGGGAAACAGAAACATTTGGTTATTAATGATTTGTAATTTTATAAAAAAAATTCTAAATGTATTATAATGATTGAAAGTAATGAAACAATACACCTTTCCCCCAAAATTGAATGTAACTTATTTTAAGTACATGAATAAATAGTTTATGACAGTAGAATAACATTTTTGTAAATTATATGTAGAAACATAGAATTTATATTTCTAGCTAAGTTTACTTATTTTGTGATTGATTTGAATAATTAGTTTACATTTTGTAAGAAATAATAAAATAAATTGACACAAAAATAGTAAGTCTTACCAATTTTTTTTCCATTTTGGCCTTGATATCCCTAGCAAGTGTGAAAAAAGCTTCCTCTACATTGATGCTGGACTTGGCTGATGTCTCCATGAATTTGATACCGTATTCAACAGCCAAAGCTTCACCTCGCTCCTTTGATACTTGCCTTTTATTCGTTAGCTCACATTTATTACCTAAGAGCATCTTTTCAACATCTGCAGAGGCATTTTCCTCAATGTTACGTATCCAATTTTTTATATTTTCGAAACTTTTCTCGTTTGTTACGTCGTATACTAGCATAATACCCATGGCTCCTCTGTAATATGCTGTTGTTATTGTGCGAAACCTTTCTTGACCCGCTGTATCCCTGAAATTAGAAGATTTTTTATTTCGAATATATTTTCAAATAAAAAATATATAATTAACTCTCAATGACTTACCATATTTGTAATTTGATTTTTTTGCCGTCAAGCTCAATTGTGCGTATTTTAAAATCGATACCTGGAACATATAGAAAATTATGAATCCATTGTGAAGGTATTGAATGATTAAAAATATAGAGATAAAAGCATGAATAGATCATCAGAGACACTGGTAAACTGGGTTAACATCGATTGTGTCTAGTCCAATCGAATGGTAGAACATGTAAAAGCATGGAGATTCCAGCGTTTCACCGGTCACAATCGATGTTAACCCAGTGTATATGTTACAGGAGGCTCTGAAAAATGTATGGGATTCGAATTGGTTTACAGAACAACGCGAGTCAAAGTAAACAAAAATAAAACCGAGCCAAGTTAGCTTTTTGATTGATTTTTTCCAAAAGTTTTGTTCGTATAATGTTTATGCTATGTACGCGGTTAGAATCCAAACATTAACGTATCAAGCCAACGACGAAGATGAAATCTACATAAAAAAATTCTTTCTCGTTCGTTTTTATTCGCTGGTTCGAAGATAAACGGATGTGCAAAAAATAGATAAAAAAATAGCACACGCATGCAACTTATAATTGGTTTGTTATGTTTGCACGAACTAATCAATTGAATAAATAATTCCTTCATTATTATTCAAAGATTAAAAACAAAAAAATTCATTTCATAGAGAAATGTCAAAAAGAATGCTGCAGGGTCGCGGAATCTCGTGCAACAGACTTATCGCTTCAATCGTAATACCTAGTAATTACATGAATAACTTTTAGGAGTGTAGCAGGAAGCGACAATGAAAGTATGTCGTATGAAAAGTATGCGTACCTTGCAAAAATTTTATCAAGTATATATATGTACAAAATTTATTCAAATAGAGTCTAGAAGAGCTTGAAGTTTGATCGAATGGTTTTTTCGCATCAGAGAGTCGTAAGAGTAAGATGTGAGCGATAAAAAGCTAAATGAAGGACATCAGGATATGATGCAACAAGCGAATAGCCACGCGAACACAAGATTTATTTTCGAGAAGGCGCGCACGATGCTTGTTTCTTAGATGCACTTTTTCGACAAGTGTAGCTACGAATATTATGTATGAACTATTACAAACGACCGTTTGTTAGTTTAAATAAGTGGTAAAACGTTTTGTTTATCTATTGAGTAAAGACTAGTAATAATAACTTATTGAACTGTAGAGAAAGTAACAATCAATACGAACAATCAAGAACAAACTAATCTTACTGATAATCGGCACAAAGGTACTTATTTATGATCTAATTGGTCCTCAGAAATGCTAAATCAAAGTAAAAATTAAGATCTTCAAAAATATCCGAAAATTCTATTAAATACTTTTTTAATAGCTCGTTGTTCCTGTTTATATTTTTAAGATCCCAAAAATCAAATTTTCAATTCGGTTTTCTGAAAATTCTAGATAATGTTTCTTTTTTACAGAGTAAAATAATCATAGAGATCATATAGTACTTGAAACAACATTTAGTAAAAGTTTCACAAAATGCACGTAAATAATGTTGTTTGCTCTAGCTTCGGTATCTTGAATGTCAACGTAGAGTCATCACTCGAATCCACAAGCTTTTGGGGAACTGTGCGCAACAAGTCAGAGAAGCGATTTCACGATGTAGAGTAAATGCACCAATTTTCGACCACCCTAAGATATTATTTAAGTAAATGGAAATATTCATAACATTCCGACATTGTTATACTTTTAGAGAAAATTTATAGAACCTTTGAAAATTATTAAATTTTGTTTCGTCACTCAATTTATAATTTGAAGATCGATGATAAGGTTTCTCGTGCACTTCTAGATATCACATTATACATGCTTTTAGAAGTTGAAACTGAGTTCCAAGTTCAGGGCCACTAGCGGCTCGGTAGGTGGTCGAAAAATTTGTATTTTGTGACTTTAATCATTTTTTAGAAGTATCACCAGCTTTTTTGGTCAAGTGTGTGTGCTCATTAGAAAGGTTACTTTTTTCCCCTGATAAAAGATATTTTAATAAAAATCTTCAAACGTCACGCACGGCTCTGCAAATGAGCAAAGAAAGATTTTTTCAAGTATCCGAAATATGAAACATTTACCCCAGTCACTAATGTTACAGAACTTTCCTGAATCAACAAGAAGAATAAAAAGGAAAAATCAACAGGTCATCGACACCTGGTCCACCTAAAGTGTGACAGTTGCTTAACAAGGACTTTGCAATATAATGTAGACATTTCCCGAGTGCACGACTCGCTCATCAGTCGTTGATAAGTGCGACGCGCATGTGCCATGTGTGTGTAGGTGTGTGTATGTAACTGTGCTGCTGGTTAGTTGCACATTTCATCTGACGAGACACACCCAACGATGAGCTTTTGTCTATAAAACAGCACAGAGTTCCTTATACTCATACTGCATTACGTTTTGATTTTTTGTGACTGTTAACTGGCGCTTATTTTTGGTTGTTTAGGAAGAATTTTTTCTTGCATTTTTAGGCTTTTGCGGTGGCACGACGATTCCCATGCTCGTAAATAGTACATCACTGCCCTAGACCACGAAAAACAGAAATGTAATTAGCTGAACACGAGCTCTGGGGCCTTTTTTACGCGCCTTAGGCCTGTGTGCTATTTTCCATACCCAGTGGTCCGAAAATTGCTCTTCCCGCTTTGCGCAGCGGCCGGGAAATAGTCAATTCCGGGCCGCTGGTATGAAAAAGTATTTGAAATAACTGTTTCATGAACGAAAATACAATTTCAATGAAATTAGGACAGTAATATACTATTGAATTAATTGTTGAGACTTCAATTAGCTTATTCTTCACGTTTTCATTGCTCAAATGTTTTATAGGCGTGACAGAGCTTGGCAGCTTCTGCTGATACATCAGTAGTATCAGAAGTATCGGTTACAATTTTATCTTTTGTTACTGAGACTGTTTGAGTTAAAATGAAAAACCTCCACGTGAATTTTTTCTCGAAGACAAGCCCGCTTAGCAACCAAACAAATGATACCAGTACCAGATGAAATAAATTTGTTTTGAAGTTTGAGTAATACGAGCATAAAATGTGGGCCCGAAATTACAATATACTCGAGATCGTCTATACTATTACTGGGAGATAAACATTTAGAAAAGTGTCACATTTTTTCTGCTATCGTTTTTGATGTATTATGTCACTTATTTAATGATGAGCAATTATGAATAATCTTTCAATTGGTTATTCCATACCGAGACAAAAATCTAACAAATAAGAATATTGTAAAAGTTAACAATAATTCAATATTAATCAAATTATTTTGAGGAAGAACGATGAATGAGTTGCGGGTAAAATGGCAGTGAATTTTTAATGAAAAATTGCATCTTTTTTCATATGAAAGCAATATTAGCTAAACGAACTTATTATTCAACATTTTTTCAAAGTGTGCAATGTGGCATAAGTGTGTGCATGAAAATAATCGAAGTGAAGAAGATTTCTTGGACTGGTTCACATGTTAGTCATCGGTGACACAGAACATTTATATTTTAATCAAGGTTTCTGTTCCGTTCTGCATTAAAATACATTGGCTAATTTTTTTTGTCGAGCGCATAGCTTTGTCCGTAAACTCATAGCAAAGCGGCATAAAGAACACGAGAGATTGTTCAAATTTCAGGCGTACCCAATACAACGCGAAAAGAAACGCGCGTTATACCTTTAGAGCTCGCTTAGAGTTCATCGTGACGCTGAGTCTTTTGAAGCTGCAACTCATTTGCATAATGCAGAGAGAGAGTAGTTGACCGTGTTAAATTTGCGAGTCGGTCTATATGCATTTTTACCGAGAACGATAACGAATTAGCGGCCTCGCGTCAAAGAAACGAAATGAATTGAGTCCCATCTTGGTTGAGCTTGGCTGTTGCAACAATTTTCAAACGCGATCGACGAGAACAATACTCTTGCAGCGTCCACAATTTAAATGACATGATCCACGATTATTCAAATAACAATAGGGGAGATTTTTTGTTGCCGAGTTGGAATGTTGGATGCTGTCACTAAGCCGAAAAATCTGTTAGACCCATCTTAAGTGCCGCACGGCATTCTTGGTAACAAAAATAAATATAAATATATAGGCGCAGGAAAATTGAGTCGCTAATTAGATGAGGCGAACGTATATATCGATGACACGAGCAGCCTAAACACTCAGCGATTAACATCGCTTCAATCATCCTTTACATGTCGTTATCTATATAGCACGGGGTATTTAAGACGGCGATCGGCGAGCCGTAGTCACTGCTGGCCGCATACTTGACAAATGAAGATGTGTATTGTCGAAAGCATGTGTAGTGCAGAAAGGACGAGATGGCAGCTCATGTATATTCATCATTACGGAAATAAAAGGAGGAATCGACGCTTATACTTGGCATCAAACCGTTAAAATCATCTCTCGCAAACTTTGCACCGCGATGCTGCCGTATAATACTATTTATCATAATTTCTCGAAACTGCGCACTTTTAGCATTACTTTATACATGTGTGAGTCTTCATTGTATCCCGACGTACAAATTGCAACATAGGTATATATACAAAATAATACACATCGCGATCGCATATCACCTATATATGCGACCTGAACGTATCAGCTATATGCCTGAATCTGTGTATTATTATATTATATACACGCGTGCGCGCACACAGCATACTTGAGCAAATATATACCCAAGACAGAAGTGAGAAGACTGTTACTCACACACACACACACTCTGACGCAGCGCGCTGCGCGCAGTGCACGCACACACACACACAAACACATATACACACACACACATACACACGCATTCGCGCACGAACGCAAGCAAACAGGTATACGAGTATTGGTGGATATGTACGCGTGTATACGTATTTTTAAGCGTACAAAAATGAAAATTGCATAAGTAAGGAGATATAGAGAGAAATGCAATTAATGTACACACCGATGGTGGATATGAAGGTCGTGTTGAAGGCGTCCTCGGAGAATCGGAACAGTACGCAAGTTTTGCCGACGCCCGAATCACCGATCAGCAATAGCTTGAACAAATAATCGTAGGTCTTGGCCATGGCAGCAGATTTACGAGATGACTGGAGAGCTGAGCCTTGTGAATTGGACGTATCGCTGTAATACTGGGACGGCAACAACGACGACGACAACGACGACGACGAAGATGACGATGACGACGAGTCACGACTCACCCAGCTGTTTTGGCAGCCGCTGTGCGCACAACACGGACACACTCACACACAAAGAGGCACAACACCACTTTACAAGGCAGTAATACACGCGTCTACACGAGTCCGTTCGACGACGCACGCTACGCACCCACTTTACGGAATTGCAGGCTATCGAGTCTCGAATCGAGTCACACAATTTGACTCATGAATCGGCACAACAGTGGACGACAAACTCAACGCTGGCGTGAAACTTACAGTGATGTATGATAATCTCTATAGGCACTGCAGCTTTTCATTCGTGCGAGCTAGCGTGCGGGCCACGAGTTCGGCTGCTGATATACGAGCTGTGAGAATGAATGTCGTTCTTTGCAAGCCTAGGTAACCTAAACTATATGTTGTTATGATATACGTATAGATGGGAGATTGGCGAGAACGTTGTCGGATATGTCGATTGTCGAGTCTCGCTCGGCAGTCACTACAAGTCTCAGTGATTGGCAGCACGGACGAGTGACGATGACGATGACGAATGAAGACACGGACGATGCACGCCTTGTGCGTTTAGCGACGCGACTTATAGCTTTCCCTTATATGCGCCAAGTACTTATGATGCTGTCCGAGTCTGTGTGCGTTTCTGACTCTGTCTACCTATATACTCTTGACTATTTACCGTCTCAGTCGAATGTCGATGCGGCAGGCAGCTGTGCTCTCGAGCCTCTGCTCGCGCAAAACAGTCGTTGTATTTCGCTGCGTTCAGTCGTTAATTCGTTAAGCGGCATTCGTGCTTCGACGCTCGACCAAAACCTATATACACGCGCTATACACTACATATATATATACCTAAATGTATACAAATATGTAAGCATTCAGTCGGCATTCAATTAGCCTGGCACTCGCCGAACCGCTGATTGAATAGCTGATGCTTCGATGCTGTTGCAGCTCCTATCTTGGTGACCTCGGCTTCTTTCAAATTGATCGTCCCAGCACCTTTTTAATTAAAATATTTTGACAGATTGACTGATGTGCAATGTTGAAACTTTTAGGCTATAAAAATATATACCAAGTCAGGCTTTGCTGATATCATTTGGAAGTATGTGATTATTTTCGCGTGTCGGATATCTTATGCTTGCAGCGACAGCCGACAACGGCCGGTGCAGCAGAATATAGAACTCGATAGTCAAGATATTTCGGCTTTACCTCCTCCCCTCGGTGTTAATTTTTCATTTTTTGTGATTTCAGTTGCTTATATGGTGGTATATACCGCCTATCACTCTTCATGCCACAGATCTTCCAAATTATCTCTTGAAATGACTTGCCAACTTAGAGCGAATTAAAATGAATGAGTGAGGTTAGCTTCGTCGATTCAATCGTCATTACCCACTCTGTTTTTCTTATCATTTTTCGCACCAATGTTGTATCAAAATTGTATGTATGCAATTCAAGACCAGAACAATAAAATCTCAATGATGAATTTGTGCGGACAACTCTTTACTAAAACTCTTGATCAAAAATCATTAAACAAGAAAAAGAGTAAGTTTCTCATATTATTCTTTAAGTATAGAGTTTTTCGTTCAAATTATTCATATTACCTAAATACATGGATACAATTGAACAATATCAATTCGGTGATGGGAAGAAATCGAGGAGCCGTGCTCCGAATTGCTATCATACAAACAGTGCAAAGAGGCGCTAGGAGTAGCTAGGACTTCTCGAGTAACTTATAGTTCTATTGCGCTTTTTAAGCCTCAGATGGATCTTCGAGAAAACCCACTATGTGTAGTATGTACCTCTTCAATCCACCTAGGGCATAAAGAGCCCAAAAGAACTACAACTTCAGAACTCTACTTTTACTGACTAGAAAAAAACTCAGAAAAACTGGAAATATGAAATTTTATTCAATTCATGTAAGATTTAAATCAAGTTTTATTAACGCATCAATTTGATTTGTTAATTAAAATAAATTCGAAATATGAATGAATTTATCGTGTATTGGGAAGTATACGATGCCGCAGCGCCTCTCAGTATTCAATTTGAGCGACCCATAAGAACTAGAAGAATAGGGTAAAATCATCTATGCCCTATTCTTTTCGTTCTTATTGATTGAATTACTCATTGAATACTGAGAGGTGCTGCGGTATCGTATACTTCTCAATGGGCCAAACAGGGATTTGAAATTGAAAAAAACAATTCCAAGTTTTGGAAAGGATTTTTCTTTGGCTTTTTCATTGCATTTTTTAGAATTTCCAAATTTTGATTTTCCAAGGATATATAGATATTTTATAAGCATGTTCCTGAGGAAAGAATCCTCAACTTTGAGAATCTTTAAATCCACATCGATTCTATGCATGGTGGTATCGCTCACGCATCTGAATTATGATAAATAAAATACCTATAAATATAGCCGTATCGAGTCTGATGATATCACCCATGTGCAAAGAAATTTGCACAAAAACGAAGTATTACATCTCACATCGATATGGTACATAGCTCACGGCCTAATGAATATGTAAACCTTCGATTGTGTCGAAAACCCTGATGGGCCCACGGCCAAGGGTATTTGATCAGAAAACTAATGTTCAATTAAAAATGTTCCAATAAAAATGCTAAAAATTATCATCGAGCAAAAAATTCAATTTTTTATTATTGTAATTTACCTTACCATTTCTTAACATATGTTCAAACAATTTGGTCAAGTTATCGAAACACAAATTGATGAAGTGTGATACATCTTGTATTAGTTTTTGATTAAAGTCTGTGATGCCAAATTTTTACTTTGTTTCCGAAACCGGTCATTTTATGGCATCGGCCTATGACTCACGTGTTCAAGTAATTATTGTAAAACTTGATTTGATTTTATCTCGAAACTGGTACCGCTGAAGATCCTGAAATTATATATGTGGGGAACTGTCGAATCTCAAAATCTTTTAAATGTTGGGTCATTTTCATGCATAGTAAAATTGAGTTATCTGAGACGCTGTTTTGAAAACAATGCATACTCAAGGACAACGTGAATTTATTTACGGGATACTGCTTGTTTTAAATTTTCTTCTTAGTGTTCTGCAGAAGAGAAGTTTTTTACAAGAATTCTAACGAAATTTGTGGAGCAAGTTTTTTAGGTATATTTATCGAACATATAGTACCGGAACAAATAGTTCCGGTACGTGGTACTATGCTCAATACAGCATTGCTCATACATTTTGTATATTCAATGTATATTCGTTATGAGACTTATTTTCTTTAAGAATAATTCTAAATTTTGTTAGAGCTGCCGAGGAATAGTATATTTTACAACAGTTGCAGCTATAGTTTTTTTTTATAGCAAAACGAGAGATTATAGCATGAGCGGTCGTAGGCGAGGACTGTAACGAGTTTGGTTTGTAACCATTTGTAATAGGTTGCACCGAATGCAAAAGAAATTGGCTTAAGGTGACAATCGCGATGAAAATGAAAAACAGAATAAATTGTTTTGCGAAACGACCAGCGTGCTCGTTATGTACAGAACAAAACTTTAAACGCGTTTTTCTCTAAACCATTTTTTTCAACTGGTACCAACGGTTGAGAGAAAACTATAAATTCAAGCTCAGCCATACCCACAGAGTCAAAGAAAATAGACTGATAGAATAGCCTTTAACTTATAGGGCTGACTATCGTTAAAACAATATGGGAAGTAATATGACTCTATAATGTCGACCATCTTTGTATAGTATTATAGATATGGTTGATTCTCCCGAAATCTACTTTTACGGGTATAGAAAATGAAAAAATGGGGAAAATTTTTTTTCATATTGAACGGCATGAACTAGTTTACCCTTTTTTAAACCATAAAATATGAGTAATTATTGAATCTGGGGCCTTGAGATTTTGTTTTACGAAAACTAGGTCCAATTTTATGCTTAAAATGGACTATTTTCGGTTACAGAAGTAACACACACGGAGGTGACAAATCGCTGCTTTGATCAACTAATTGTAAGTATGAAAAATAAGAAACGCACAAAATTTTTCGTACAACCCGAAATTCGGTCATGAAAAACGAGTCTTTTGACGGGGTGAGCGGTTAAAAAGAATGACCATAGCTCAAGATATTCATATCCACGGAGGTGACAGTTTTTTTGAAACACGTGAATTTTCCAATAGAATAATGCATAGCTAAAATGTAAAATTTGAATGCGCAACCTACACTGATCGAAAGTTGGATCATAATACTTGACATTTAAGTGTCTAGGGACATCAACGAGTTAGCGACTAAAACCAGGTGGTATATTTGAAATTATTCAGAAGCATGATTAAAATCCGAGACATTTTTCAATTGTGGGAAATTTTTTAAAAACATTTTTCGAAGCCCTATGATAGACTTAAACTTTACTTTGGATGTATAGAAGCTGGTCTCTTAGTTATTATAGGGCTAGGTGCTTATGAGAATGCATGGTATATGCAAACAGAGTTGATTTTGTAATCTAGACATGCCACAGAGGTAACATTTGGCATTTACATCTCAACGGCAAATGTAACTGGCCCTAAAAAATTGAAATATTAAAGTTCAATCACAAAGAATACAATAATGTTGAATGAACGACCGATCCAGATTTGGCTTATCTTCACTAGTTTAAGGACATGGTATGTAGACATGCAAAAAGCAGATTTCGGGAGAATCAACCATTTACTTCACGTGTTATTCCGCTCTATAAAAGCAGTCATGTTTACCCCCTCCGCCTCTCAGATTATTTCCCTATGTACATGCTATCCATTTAGACAAATCTTGCTAACTGTCAGTTGCCTCGTTACTAGTTACTATTTGCTACGCTCCTTTAATGAAGGACCCTCTCTCTAGATTGCGCTACTGTATGTATACCGGCGAACCACGTGTTTTACTTCTATACAACACTTTTCATTGCCAAGCCGAAAGTATTTCATTCAGTTAGATTGAGTTATTTAAGAGCATGATCTGGTTTTATGTCTAACAGTTGCATTGAATAAGTTGACTAGTAAAGGTGACCAAATATCTCAACATTGCACGGTTCTTCAAATTTCTGTAGTATTTTGTGCAACTTTAACATTTCTAGTAAGATATAGCTTGGTTTTATTTCTATTTATTATTCCTAAAGTTGTAACTCTACTATTTACTGTGTTGATTTGAAATAATTTTGAGTTAATTAAATATTGGTTTCAAAATTTTTCCACAATGCACAGAATTTTTTACTAGTTTCATTTACCAATATTTCCAATTTTTTATCAATTCTTTTTGTCAATACTGTTAGTAATAGGTTATATTTTTATAAATTCAATGTCACTTTTTACTATGTAATAGTATCTTTGTTCATAATGTTGTATGACATATTCTTAGAAAAAAAATGCAGATAGTTGATATATTTTTTTTTTCTCTTTACAGAAAACCAATAATATGAATTCTAATAAAAATCATCACCCTGACTATAATCCTAACATTCAGATAAAGTCTGAGCCAGGTATTGCATCTAATGATGCATCTGCACCTACACTGGAAATTAGTTCATTGAACAATGTTCAAATAAAAGCTGAACCTGGAACGGAAAACAATATTTCATCTACCTCGTCTTCAATAAACTCAAATTCATTAAACAATATAAAAATAGAACCAAGCCTCTTCAGAAGTTCTACAAGACTACCTTCACTTAGAGGACCTAGAGATTTGACATTAGGAGGGAATGTGAAATTGGAAAAACAAAAAAAAGTCTTTACCCCAAATTTAAATGTTACAAGAAATAAAAATAGAGAGTGAGTAATGTTATATTGATTAAAAAAAAATTGTATTAATAAATGTATTATTTCAGAAATCCATATACCAACAATGATAACACCTCTAAACTCAAAAAAGAAAAATTCAATGACAAAGATAAAAGGCAAGATAAATTAAGAGAAAGAGGTAGAGGACGAGGGAGAGGAACAAATAACCTTGTGCAGGTAAATTAAAATCTTCCTATAAAGTGATTTAGAATTTTATGTCGGAATTGCTAATAATTGTTGTGGAACAGTCATCTGGCATTTTCAGTGAAGGATTATCCGAATCCTTGACAGCCAAAAGACCTGGCTATGCCGGAGCAACATCTGGTAGGTCTAGTGATGGTTTTGGATATCAAAGAGGATCATCATCTTCATTTGCCATACAAAAATCAACAATTTCTGAAGTAGACAATAATGCAGAAGAAGAAGGTTCAAATGATGAGTTTGATGATTTCAAAATGGATTATAAAGATAGTTTTGTTTCTCTACCAATTACAAATAATGGTATGTTGATAGAATTATAAGCTAGAAATTTATTTCTAGAAGTAGTCTAATCCCTAAATTTGTATTTGAATCACTTATGTTGTAAAATATTAGAAAAGTTTTAATATTTTAAAAATGGTCAAAAAGATTTTACTACTGTAACTTGGGTTTGTACATTTTAGGTTATATTTGAATCATTTTTTTATTTTAATATGTTACTTTCAGCTAAACAACATAATGAAGTAATAGGAAATAATTTAGTCAAACATAACAGTGATACAGAATTAAAAGCTGATAAGCTAAAAACTAAATTACAAGAAATTAAAGTGACAGATAAAAGTCCTAAATTGACTGTATCACAAGTAATACAGGATCAAACAGAAAATTCCTATAAACTCCTACAGGTATTTTTACTTAAGTTTTCCCATAATTGTGTTTTAGAAAATAATAACTGTTATATGTATTATTATATGTTTTAGTTCCCACCTTGTTTACCAGGACTACCAACTGAGGAAATTGATAAAACTGATAAAACTGATAAAAATGATAAAACTAATAAGAAAAATAACAACTGCACCGTCAGTTCATTGAAGGAAGGAGTCTTAGGTAAAATACAAGTGTTGAGATCTGGCAAGGCTCGCTTAGTTTTAGGAGAAAATAATCTCATAATTGATATAGGAACATCTACAAGTTTTAGACAGGTATGTTTACTCCAACTATTACATTAGATTTATAATCAAATTATTGCATTACTGTAAGCGTAAAATATTTACAGGATTTGATTGCTGCTAAAATAAAAGATGATAAGTCAAGCGGAACATTAGTTAATCTTGGTACTGTCGACAGTAAACTTATCTTAACAGTTGACTGGGAGACCATATTAAAAAATTGTAAATAACAATAGTTAAATCAGTCAATACCTTATAGTATGAATAATTTTTTCTTTAAACAATTAAGAAATGATGTTAAATATTTTTTAAGATAAAATGAATTTTACATGTATTATATTTATTAGAACCGAATAAAAGGATTTAGGATTTAAAATCAGAACATGTGAATAAGGTTTGAAATCATCTTTATGATAGAAAATTTTAAAGAAATCATGGTTAAAATCACAAACATATTGTCTATGTGATTAGATAATCATTAATAATAATTTAATTTAAAAAAAATCAAGGCAAATCATGGTCAAGCATACAATGTACGAGTTAATTAGCTAAATATGTTTTAATGATTACTTTTATGATTTATTTATTAGAATTAATCTTAGTTTTTGGAAATTTCAAATCCAAGTTTTACTTGTGTGTACAAGTAATTACAAAAAAATTACTCACAATTATATGAGCTCAAGATTTTAAAACCACAATCATTTGTATGTAGTTACAAATTTTGAGGCTTTTGAGGTCAACATGAAATGAAATGTTGTAAACTTGAGTAAACTAATTATCAAGTACATTTATGTTACAATTTTGTGACTGTAAGTTTTTAATCACTTTGCTCAACACTATGACCTTTTTTCATAGACTTTAATGCTTTTTCTCGGAGTTTTTTTTCCAATTCTTCGGTATTACCCTCACTTGCATCAGATTCATCGGATTCTGCTACTTTTTTCTTCTTATGTTTCCTATGCTTCTTATGTTTTTTATGTTTTTTATGCTTTTTATCCTTTTTCTTTTTCTTTTCTTCAATTTCGCTTTCCTATGGTTATTTAATATTATATTAGAATCAATTTAGTAACAACTATAATAGTAAAAATAATAATCCTCCAAATAATACCTCAGATTCACTAGTGCTCGTTTTCGGCTTCTTTCTCCGTTTTTTTTTAACTTTTTCTTCATCACTACTATTTTCATTCTTCCTTTTCTTTTTCATGTCTTTTTCTGTTTCTTCGTCCTCTGAACTCGAGTTGCGCCTAGATTTTTTTTTAGATTTTATTTCATCTTCGCTGCTTGAATCTTTTCGGACTTTCTTTCCTCTCGGTCGTTCATCTTCGGAAGAAGTAGATCTTCTTTTTCGTAATTTTTTTGGCTCCTCTTCAGAACTTGACTCTCTTTTTGATCTTTTCGGCAGAGACTTATCATCGTCAACTTTGTTTAATTTTTTAGATCGTTGAGTATCTTCTGGGGAAGTTGACTCCTTCCGAGATTTTTTATTTTTTTTTGAATCTTCTTCTTTTTCTTTCATCTTTCTTTTAAGTTCAGTTTCAGTAATATCTTTTTTTTTACTATCCTTTGGACGTTCTTTCAATTTAGTATCTCTGGAAGCTATGAAAATTTTACTTAATTAATTAAAATATTTTTGATACCAAAAAAAAATAATAGAATAAAAAATTTTTTAACAATCATCTTTACCGGAACGGCTAGAGTCCCGCTTTCTTTTTTTGTCGGTAACTTTCTTTTCGTCCTCAGACGACGAGCTCGAATCTCTGCTCTTGTCGGATTTATCATCATCAGTGGACGTTTTTCTTGACTTTCGAGATTTTTCAATTTTTTTCTTTTCTATTTTCTTTTTATCTAAAATTAATTTCAATAAATTATTTGAAGTATTTATTGAGATACTTCTTATTAAAATAATTTGAATACTTACTGTAATCACTATTTTCAGAATCTGATGATGCTTCACGTTTGTCTTTTTTTGAAGCTTTTTTTGAGTTTTCAGTTTTTTTCAAAGCATTTTCAACTATTTTTTGCGTGTTAGATTTTTTTTCTTCCAACAGCGGCTTGAAAGAATTTTTGGTAAGTTTTTCTTCTTTCTTGAGTGGGAAAGTTTCAGCAGTTGCAATGGTAACTTCGGCAGTTTTGGGTGAAGTTACTTTATCTTCCCTGAAAAAATAAATTTGTTTATTTACCTTGCATGATATAAAGTTTTGTATATTTAAAATAAAAAAAGTCCATATTTACTTTAATAAATTTAGTTGTTTATTTTTTTCTGCGATGATATCTTCTGTCTTTTTGAATGGTGAAGGAGTTCGAGATAAGCTCCGAGAGAACTATAAAGATATTACATTTTAATAATTAAAAAATGTTTTAAACTTCATATTTTTTCATGAGTTTAAAAAGTATTATTACCCTATGTCTGCTTATAGGTAATGCTGATGTAGGAATTTTCTTAGGAGAAATTAAACTTTCTGTCTTTTTAGGTAAAGGTATCTCATTTTTTCTAATTTCCTTCTCAACTACAATTCGCTTAGTAGATTCTTCTTTGGCAGCTTTTTCTTTTTCCTTCATTTTCTTTTCTAGTTCTTCAGCTTGTTCACGATCTTTTTTTTCTTGAAGAAGTTTTTGCTCCAGGGTTTTCCTGAAAATATATTACCCGATTAATTCTTCTAATCTGAAGATAACTTAGAAATTAAGAAAATTATAAACAAAAGCATGCAAATTCAAAAATCGATTATCTTAATCTTTTTCTACTTATAATTGCAGTTTCACGTTGTAACAAATAACTTAAGTTCTTTAGCAAGTCTTCTCAAAGTAATACAAAAATTATAGTCCAAAGAACAGAATTAATGAAAAAAAAACTTATAAATATTGAATAAGTTAATATTTTTTCAAGTATCTACAAAACATCATTTTATTAAACCCTAAACTTACCCTACTGAATGATAATATTTCGTATGGTACAGCAATAGCACTTTTCTATTTGAAACAGTTGAAAACATATTTCAATACACAATTGATATTTTAAAACTTAAATAATATAAAAATAACAAATGTAGATTTTTTTCTTGAGAAACAAAAGAATTCTTTAAAATTCAATAATATCATTTAAATTAATTCCTTGTTTCAAGTATGTTTCCTGTGCTTTAAAAGTTTCTGATAAAAGTAAACTTACATAACTTTAATTTTTGACCTTTTTTTTACAATTAATAACCAGTAACGTATGTATTACGTTTTATAGTTAAAAACTAAGAAGCTTAAAAATTCAAGGTGCTATTATTGTATATACGAGTTGAATAACCCGTACATCGATTATGAAAAATAATTAAAAAACTATTAGGTCATTAATTAAATTGAAAAAATACACGAATATGCGTCAACTAAATACTTTTATGGTTGCAAAAGAAAGGCCAAAAGTCAGTGTTAAGTTTTAGCGATATGTAAAAACCAATTTATAATAAAATATTTGCTTAAATTTATTTAAAAAAAAAATCAGAAATAAAAATGAAGAACAATTGAATCTCAATCAATGATCTTTTGCCTTTCTTTTTGAAAAATATTAAAACCTATATTAAACTTTATTAGAAAGGCTCCACTTGCAATTAATAACTCATAACATACCTAAAAATGTAGAATTAAAATCTAACTTTTGGAATATGAAAATAACATTTATTTAACTCACAAAATTCAAAATTTAAATAAAAAGAATTTAATTAAGTTGGAAAAATTAATTGATTCCAAATTTGGCATAATTTTATTTCAAAACAACTACTCAATCTAACTTGATTGCTTTTTTATCTATTTTTTAAATAGCTCACATAATTCTATTATAGATAATGTTGAATAAACGCAATTTTCAGTTTTATTTCTTGCAATATTCTATCTAAGTTAGAAATTATAAGTATTAACTATAAGTTTTTTTACCGTGCAACTTTATCTTCTTCTTCACTTGTCTCAGAATCACTGCTATGTTCGCTACTTGATCGAGATCTGCCGTTCCTAACATCACGTTTTTGCATTTGCGTTGCAGCAGCCTCTGCAGCAGCAACAACTACTTGAGCAGCATTTTTGACCGGCATATTAAGAATCGCCGAGCCTTGCGGTGGAACTAAATTTTCGATGGGTACTTTCTTTGTTAATTGCTTATCTTTGTCTTTATTTTCTGTATCAGTCTTCGGTAGTTTCTTATCTCGCGAAGGTGCTCGGATAGTACTAGTAGGTTCACGACTGCGAGTACGAGATCTGCGCGAACGGTTTCTTCGGTCGCGTGATCTATCTCGTCTGCTTGAACGATCGCGAGATGATGATCTGTCTCGAGAACGTCTTCGAGAATCGCGGCGATCAACTGAACGTCTTCGAGAACGAGATCGGCGACGACGATCGATTGAGCGCCTTCGTCGTGGAGTTGGAGATCGTCTCCTGCGAGGACTTGGCGAGCGTCTTCTATAACGAGCTGGTGATCGTCGAGGACTTCTATTGAAAACAATGAGATAATAATTAAAGAAAAACTCAATTCGTAACTTGAAATTCAAAAAATGAAATAGTCGATGCAAACCTTCTACTTAAACCTCTGCGAACTGAAGGTGGCCTCATACGACCACCGCTGTAACGATCTCTATCTCTATCGCGACGATCACGATCCCTTTCACGATCTCGATCTCGTCTACGATCTCGGTCCCTGTCCAATGATCTCCTAAAAAATTAATTTATTCATTAGTGAATTTCATGTGTATTTTACTATTTATTTTAAAATTTTAAAAGTGGTGACCACACTAGCTAAAAAATTTAAATAACCGTTATTTGCAAATACAAATCATCTACTGGCTTACTACCTATTCAAATTTACAATTTTGCTTGGAAAAAAAAACAGCGACGTTAAATATATTTTGCATGTTTCTTTCGGTAAAAAAAATTATAAATATATACCTTCTGCCACGTCTATCTCGTGATCGATCTCGTGACCTATCTCTGGTTCTATCGCGTGATCTATCCCTAGTACGATCTCTATTCTTAGAACGATCCCGATCTTTTCTAGGCGAGAGACTACGACGCTTTACAGCTGATTTTCTTTCTCTGCTCGAGTCACTGTCAGATCCACTATCATCTTTATTGGATTTCCGGTATGATCGTTTAGATTGCACGCCATCCTTTTTTTTTCGAATTTCAAAATCATTTTTGTTCTTTTCTCGTTTGTTGTCTTCAGAATCGGAACTACTACTGCTACTTCCACTACTAGCACTTGTGGCTTTTCTTGGTTCAGTTGTCTTCACTTTTTCAACACTTTTAGAACCTGATTTACTTCTCGATCGACTTTTCGATACAGACTTGGAACGTGATTTAGAAGACAATGAAGCGGACGATGATCGAGATTTTCTGGATTTAATTCTATCAATGCTCTTAGATCTAGATTTTTTCGATCGTGAAGTTGAGCGAGATGATCTTTTGTTTACTTTAGGAGATCTGGATTTAGAACGACGTAATCTAAAACGTTCCATTGATCTAGATTTAGATCTTGAGTTCCTTGATTTAGAAATTGATCTTGACTTTCTTGATTTGGAAACGGACCTTGATCGCCTAGATTTAGACTTAGATACTGACCTAGAGCGTCTAGACTTGGACTTGGAGATGGACCTAGAACGCCTGGACTTTGACTTGGATATTGATCTTGAATGTGAACGGTGGGATTTAGATATAGATCTTGAACGTCCACGTGATTTGGAAACAGATATAGATCGTGATCGACGAGAGTGTGTGCGTGAGCGTGAGCGTGACCTTCGTGACTTAGACTTTGATCTTGAACGTTGACGAGATTTGGAACGAGACCGATGCTTGTATGATGGAGAAGTTGAACGTGATTTACGCATAGATGGTGACTTTGAGCGTGATTTTTTGTTCTCAGCAATCTTATTATTAGATTCATTGTTTTCTTTTGTTATTTCAGCTGAGGGAGATCGATTATTTTTCTTTTTACCATCTGCAATGCTCATCAATTTAGCTTGCAATCTTGAGATAGCAACTTGAGCTTCTCTGTTAAAAAATGATCATTATAATTTTAGGCAATGCATTATAAAATTTCGCAGTTTGTTTTATATTCATGAGTTATTATACTTACGGTTTATTTTTCAGCGCTATCATAGCGAGATTACTCTCCCGGGGAATGGATCCTTCACGCTCTATTTTGATATCATTACCGTCCTTCATTGAGCCTTTACTAGGTGATCTGGAGGAAGATCTACGTTTGCGACTTAGACGATCACGATCTCTGTAACGATCTCTTGATCTACTTCTTTTCCTGATTAATAAGAGTTAAAATATATAATTATGCGTTTAAAACATTCTTCTATTATTGCACAAGCGATTATTGCTTGATTTAGAGGTTAACTTACCGATCTCGATCTCGGCTTCGTTCTCTGCGATGTTCTTTTGAGGATGCTCGATCTTTTTCCTCTTTTTTTATTTTTCCGTCAATATCATTATTATCCTTGCTATCTTTTTCTTTATCCAAAGACGCTTGAAGCTTTTCTTGTTCTTCCTAATTGATAAAAAAGTAAAAATTAAATCTTTTTCTAACTGTTCTTTGCTTTTGCAAAATGAGAATCAAACGTGCTCTATAATAATTAAATGCACTAGGTTGGAAACATCGGATTCGATACGCTTTTGTTTTTCAAGTATTTCGTTCGCATGATGTCAAGGACAAATTAATCGTGTTTAGAGATGGTTCTATCATCAATCAATAACAAAAATCGAATTGTAAATTTCTACAATAACCTTTAATGCATAAAAAGATTTAAATAAATTTTCTATTTAATTAAACGCGCAACACTCAAGCAACTTCGATTCACACAGTATGACTTGATAATTAAAAAGTATTTTGTAAATACTTACCAAGCGTTTTTTTATTTGATCTTTTTTTTGCTGTAAAAATGCCGCAGGAATGCCAGTCTCATTTTCTTGAGCTGAAACTAGTAGGTCCCAAAGTTCGCCCATGAATTGGCGAGCATTTTTACCATTTAAGAAACCTGTGAGATTTATTTGCATTTTTCGAGGATCAGGAAACTGCAAAAAAAAAACAAGAGTATCTCTGTAAGTTTGTACAATTATGATCATGACCTCATAATAGCGTCAATTTCCAGTTTATTTGCAATATCTAGAGTTGTGTAGATTTTTGTAATAACACTTATAACCTAAACATATATATTTGTTAACTGCTTTTCCCCCTCGAAAAGCAGATTTTTGTTTATTATCTTACCAATGCTGGTAGTGTCTAGCATGATGTAACCTGTTAAAAAGATAACGCAGCAGTACTGCAGCAATTAATATAGAAAATAAACGAATAAGGCTTTACTGTTGAAAAAAACCATTTGACACAGTTGAACTAGCCTTTATCGCTATATTTAAATTCAGTATGAACAAGTTTTTAGTGAACGTTAAAAAAGGTTAAAATAAATACGATGGTAAATCCTGCCGCTCGCCTTCGAATCCTAATTAAATAAGCAAACGACCAGTGTCGTTCAGGAGCCAAAACTCACGCTAAGTTTAACAGTACCTCCTGATATGGATAGAACATCCATTTGTTCACCACCCGCGCTTTGCCAACGGCTCGAAAGTAGTGATAGCCACGATAGTCCGTGATTTTCCGCATACGAATGCTGCTGCTGCTGCAGTTGTCAGCTTGAGAATCGGATGACAATCGTTGATTCAATTCCAGACGACGATGCTGACACTCTTGCGTAGATTTTCCTGCAGTACAATGCCAATGCCAGCATTTGGCACTGAAATCGTAGTTGATGATGTTGGAAATGCCATAGTGGCACTTTGAAGAAACAACCAATCTTGCAAATGGTCGGTTCGATCAGCAGCTGTGCAGCTGCACTGCTAGTTGCAGTGCATCGATGTTGATGTAAGCCTCAAGCAAGGCAATCATTGCCTCCGATGGTGCAGTTGATGAAGCGCAAGCTGCTGATGTTTGCAGTGTAGATCAGTTACATGACGTGTTGATTCAGCATATCAGTAGCAGCAGCAGCTGGTGTGCGGTGGTTCGACGGCATGTATCATAGGCAGTTGATAGGGTGACCAATCGGATGCAGAGGAAAGCACATCCGAGTGCCATTTGCACAAAGGGGTTGTTGAAAGCCAACGGCCACCAATGCTCTATACTTAGATTAATTGGGAATTCAAAGATATGAGATATAATTCCACGGATTCAAAAAGTTGTTTTGGCAGGAATTACTATAGTTTTTTTGAAATTTTTTGAATTTTTTTTTTTTTTATATTACTAACATTCAAGTTTTTAGTTCATAGTGAATTATTTGAAAAGTAATAAAAAATTTGAAAAAATAATTTTTTTCAATGAAAAAGAGTACAACTTTTATACTATGCAGTCTTAATATATTGATGAAATATGTTGAAAATATTCATGTAGGAAGTGAAACAACTAGTTTCAAATTTTTACTTACCATAAAAAATCAATTAACTCATAAGGGTGCAATAAAGCTCATGGATACCATGAGCACAGTATAATTTTTCTTAAAAAATAAGCAAAAAAAGTTTAAGAAAATCAAGGCAGTACTATAAAAATATCATTAAAACAAACCAAAAATTGAATCAAATCATTTGCAAAAACAGACATTTTTGAAAAAAATTTAAAAGTAAAGGAATTTGAATGTATTAAACTTTAGTAAAATACGCAGGAAAAATTATATGCAATCAAGACTTTTTATGAATTGATTACTAATTTTCAATTGCACAAATTTTTCTTTTAATAAAATGCAAGTTGAACTAGGCGTTGTGAGCTGAAATAATAGGCATTTAACAAAGTAGTATGATGAGGGGAAAAAGCTGTGTAAACGTACAAATGTTTTACCAAAAAGTTGGTATAGACACAAATGTAGCTATAGTTTTAGTAGATACCGTTATGCATCTTATGAAAATTGGAGATAATTTTTTCTTACCTTTTCCTCCAGTTGATTAATAACAAACTCAACTATAACATCATCTTCCATGCCAAGTAGCTGGGTAATTTTTGTTGTAATCCATGGCTTGATGACTTCCAGCTTTACTTTTTGCATATCAACCTTTAATTATTTAAAATAAATTTTTATCAGTACAATTATAAAATAATTTCATCAGTAAATAAAAAATAATTTCATGCTTACTTTTTGCGTCAAAGAATCTCCAAACTTCATTTGCTTCAGAAGTTTTTTCTCTTTGTCACTGAAACGCGTATCCTGCAACGCATTGGTTCCCTAAAAGAGGAGGATAAAGTCCATTATAACAAGTAGTGAAACAAATGGTAAAATAGAAAAGAAATATTTTGACGAAAATCTGTCAGAATTTCCACGTACAGTACGTCAGAAAAATGATGCGTAGATAATATAAATCTTGCTAACGAGAGAACAAGTAACATAGGCGAAATCACAAGGAGAATACAAGGCGTCAAAGAATGATAAGAGCCAACATTGGTTATAAATCTTACCGTGTACATCATGATGACAGATTTTGTAAGCTAACCAGACGGAAAGAAGAGACGAGGCGGCTAAGCGTATATCGCAACAAGCCGTAAGAAGCGGCGTCGGTGCATGCAAGCCGGGAAAGCAATTGGCTTGCTATGGATGGCGCGGGATCGATAACGTGTCCGACACACACCGCCAGACGCCAGCAACACACGAAAAAAGAAGATGGAGCGTTTCTGTGTGTGGCCCCTGCAGGCGCACCAAGAGCCGCACTCGAGTTCGATCAGCAGTAGCAGTCAAGTTATATGTATAGCAGCAACACGATATTGTTGATAATTCCTGGCAAATTGTCCCTACGGTAGGGAGTCGATACGGAGGGTCGGAACGAACAAGACCCAGCCCTCTATTGACTATCGAGCCGACCAAGACGAACGTGTCTCGTTATCCGGGGAATGTTCACCGCGTTCTAATAATAATGACTACTCCGTCTTGTGTATAAGTTGACTACTATAATGTAGCTATATAGGCATTTATATACGCGAACAGCAAGTAGGTAAGTGTGTGTATTAGTGAATGCGCGCGCACTCACCGCTCCCGCGATAAACCAAAAATGGTGCCTGTACAGTACTCGCAGTAGTAGGTACCTACAGTAGTAATATAATATATAGTAGCAGTACCTGGTTGTAAGTACTCAGAGCGTAGGCCGGTAGACGGCCAGTGACTCACGAAAGTTACAGTTATGTCACCTACTCCTACATGTACCTATATGTGTGTTGGTATGATTATAACGAGTTTCGACGCAACCTATCGATGATTCAATTTCAATTTTTTTTTTTTTTTCAAGTTAAAATTAAACACTTGCATCAATGAGCGCTGTTGAAGTTCCATTCGTACGTTTACCTATCGTATCGACTGTTACAGCTAGTGTCCCTAAAAGAGGTCATACGGTGGGGCTTCGTAACGCAGTGACCGCGCCGGGTATTTTGCAATCGAGTCGAGTCGAGTAGTCACTATATATATTCACTACTACGTGAATTCCCCCAAAATTCGTAAGCCCGCGAGCAGTTAATTTCCTTGCAAAGTATGAAAATCAATAAGCCGCAAATGCTGTGGGCTCGTAAATTTTTTCCAACTGCGATTATCGTACAACGTGCCCTGTACAACGTGCACAACGAATCAATAAATTCTGTAGCAACTCGAGCGTTGAGTAGAGTACAAATGTATAGCGCGAAATTATTATCGACTCATGTCCCGTTGCCATGCAGCGATCTGACACTAAGTCGAATGTATCAAAAAGTCGAAAATTCAAAGACCATTCGCCACGATAAATAAAAATAAAACCTAGTGACTCGTCGAAGCGGGCTTGGACAAAAAACCAATAAAATAAGAATGCGTTAATTGTACATTATTGCGAGAATTCGACCGATGTGGAGGAATTATTAAGATTTCTATAGCCGAATGTTAATACGCTTTAGGTGTGCAAAATGCGAGAAAACCCACCGGACGTTCTAGGGGATCGGCGGAAAATAGCGTAGAACTAGTGATGCGTCAGGGTCCATCGAGCTGCAGTTGGGGATGAGCATAGAAAACGGGAAATTAAAACGCGTCAATTTCATGCACAAGCAGCGGCCAGTCAAACTAGACGAGAGAAAGGAGAAAAAGGATGCGCGAGTAGAGACGAGAATTATAACATTGTACATAAAGCAAAGAAAAAGGAAAAGGTACTCATAAGAATACTTGTGTAGCGTAGCCGGTACTAAGCGACACGTACATTATTACACTACAATACGTGCACGTTTGCGTTAGACCGCGTATGTGGCGAGGCTCTAAACGAGTATGAGTAGGTATCATATCGAATACGCATACACACGTAAAAAGCGGCCTGCCCGATCAGTCCCTCTCTTTCTCTTCTTCTTCTTTGACTCGGCGCTGTCCGTCCGTATACGTGCGAGCAAGTTGTAGCTACATATACACATACACGAGGCGATGTTGAGTATGGGTGAGAGAAAACTGGAGAGAATCGGGCAGCGGTGAGGCGCGCAGTTTGGTCGAGACTCGAGGTAGGCACTTCCTACAGTCGCAAAGAGCAAAGAGTCCCGACTGCTGCTGCTGCTGCTGCTGCTCTTCAGTCGAGCTTTGGATATCCACCTGTATAGTTCTCCATCTCTCTTTCTTTCTTCTTCTCTCTCTCTTTCTTTGGCGCTGCTGCTGTTTCTTTTCTCTTCCTTGCGCGCGCGAGTCTTTGGGTTGACTTGAAGCAAACACGCGCGCAAATCATTGGCCTGGCAGAGGACTGACATTCACCGAATCAACTGGAAGAAAAGAAGAAAAAAAGAGCAGGAATCGGCGATCGGTATCCTACCGATTTGTCTTTTTTCGATCTCTTGATTTGGCTACTCGGGCGAGGAGCAGCAGCGTCCGCATACCATAGTAGCAGCCCATAGTGCGCCAGTGTCGGACCCGAGTGACGTGACGGATCTGGCTTGTTTTGACCTAGTTTTTCGGCCGATCCAGTCGCTCGTCTTCGTTTTTTCTTGTTGTTATTGTTGTTGTTACTGTTGTTTTTGTTGTTGTTGTTTTTGTTGTTGTTGTCATCATCGACCGTCTACATCTGCCGGCTTTCCGACCCAAGAACGGGATTGCCCAAATCGAGCCACTAGCAGGAACAACGTTTATTGAGGTGAGTGATCTTCTTAGACTATCGTCAGACGTGTAACTTATTCTCCTCCTTTATTCTAATTGTAGTCACTTTACTCGATTAATGAACGCAATCGCAATGATGATTAGATCTTAAGTTCGTTAGATAATCGTGCACCCTGGCCATAATCATCAGGATATTTTTTCAATCAACTACGAGAGAGAGAGAGAAATAAGTGAAGGATTCTAGACAAACGAGTACATCGAATCTTGAGCTCGTAGTAGTAACGGTAGTAGCTCGAATGTGCGTACGCGTCGAGAACGCGCACACATAGCATACATCTGTAGCGTATGTAGCCGCTTATTGATGCGCACCTTGACCTCTCTTCTCTTGGCTAAACAGTTTTGCGCTCCATGTAGCTGAAAATTTTCATTAGCAGCTAAATATATCATATTGCATTATAGTTAATGTTATTATAGTTATAGTATCTGCAAACAAGGTCTGTTATCAGGTCTCGCACATGTTTACTTTTAATCAATCGTATTCCTGCTTGAGCCGTTGAAATTTGTGCACTAATTGTGCGTGTCGGCAGACAATAGCATATTACTGCCCTAGGCCGGGAAAAACATACCCCGTGGCCCGAAAATAGCAATATTTTGTTTGACGCCGTGTCAGGAAAATGCTACTTTCGGGACGCTGCTATGTAAAGACCATTTTCGAATAGTAGCTAGTCGTGCTAAAGCATAAAACGGGTCATTCGATGTAGCTCGACTAACTATTTTAAATTTGAGCTGTTTACAAAGTACATCAATTTTACGGTTGTGCCGTTGCGGCCAACGCTCGACACTTAGCACGATGAATTTCTTTACCAGCAGGAGCTGGAGGAAAATGACACAAGCCTCGAGTGCGATGACATTTTTCAGGTACAAGACTCGCAGACTCTACGACGAATTAATATAACTGCATAGCAAGGCGCATCGATTTTTCATTAGAAATACCAGGTCTTAATTATGATTCCTGGGCAATTGGACTGCCTCGCTGACTCGAGTAAGTTTTTGCGAGCGATACCGAAAAAAATCAACGAAATTTGAATAGTTGAGAATAAAAAGGACGAATCGGTAGCGCGGCCTGTTTGTAGAAAGGTTCGATAGCTTTTGCGATAGTTTCGCGCACACAAGTGCGCTGCACGATGAAATGCAAAATAATCCGTTGATGCAGCGCGAAATTGCTCGTAAGCGGCGTCGATCGCGTCGAAACTAGTAATTATCGCGGCGCCTACGGCTGACGGGACGAGCAGCTGAGCAACATTTACGCGTTCTTTCGTCCTGCGGGTACCATTGAGAGCTGCGAAAGCATAACGATGATGCAATTTATCCGCTTACCGTTAAAGTGCGAAAACCGTCGTCCACAGAGACTCGACGAAGTGGCTTTTGAATATACTTCGAGAGCCTCCGGGCTTGCAATCGTTGTATTACGGGCAGCTAACGTTCCAGCCGCGTTCAACCTATGATTCATCTATATCTCGTCCGCGCATGTCGTCCGATGTGTAATTTTTTCCTTTGGCTCTCAGCTGCTCCTTTATTATTCAAGACTGCTCGACCGTTAGAGTCGAGCGGCTATCTACGTATCGATCTGCTAGCTGACGTTGAACTTGCGAGAGGCAAAGTTCGAAATTGAACGAGTACAATTATATAGTTGGAGCTCGCGTCGAGTCTTGGTCAAAGCCAATCGAAAATGCCAAGTTGACTCTGATGCTACGTTGATGCTGCGACACAATTTCACACGGCCTGCTTAGTGGTAATGTTTGCATGAAACCGGTGACGATCGTACGATTCTTTGCTTTATAATTGAAATAGGTTTAAATAAAGCTTAAAGCTCTAGGCGGTCATTTTTTGCTTTGATATTCTGCGGGATACAGCAGCAGCAGCAGCAGCAGCAGAGACGTTTTCATACAAAACGAGGCGAGACGTGCTCGTCGTGTGTAGGAGAAACGCGTGCTGTAGCTCTAACACAGTGAAATTGAGGTGAGCACAGCTACCGGCCGCCCTCTTATACTACGCATACTTTCTTCGGGCTTGCATTGTTAAATTGATAAATTCCACAGCGATCAGCAGCGATTTTGGGTCAAAAGCATTAAATGGTTTACATGCCACTTGGCCATGTGAGACCAAGTAGTTACCTTGTATATATCACTACAGCATGCCTTTAGAAACACTGGAAAAATTAACTTTCTAATGTATTTATTGGATTTTCGAAGAGCAACCGCACGAACCGCCTCGAGCACGCGTACTCCTTTTCGGACACACGAGTCGAGCTCATCGGTTACATGTAGCATATAAAGATTATTTTACGCTGTGCAACAGACTAAAGCCTTCGTAATTCATTATTATAAAAACGTTTAGCGCAATCGGCGATTTATTGTTACAAGCCTTCATTGGTCATTTATATAATTTATGACCTTTCAATGCATACATTTAATATCGCACAATAAAAATAATCTCGAAAAATTATATCGATCGGCCTTTTCTTCGTGTTTTACTTGTTTAATTTGCAAAATGCGGGTGCAGAAAAGCGCAGGGTATATCAACTGCATTCTGCAGTAAAAAAAGGGCTCTAAAGAAATATTTACAAGTATTTATACAGATGCAAGAATTACACGAGTGCAAAATATATCTATATATTTTATGCGTGAATTCGTGTACACGAGTAATTCAAAAAAATCTTCAAAATGCACTGGTGCTTATTTCAAAAATAAATTTTTCAAAAGCATCAAGGGGACAAATACACTTTAAACTCAAAAAAAAATTTTATTGCATTTTTGAGTGGGATTTTTCCGTCCCTTTCCATTTCATTTTTCGAAATGCCAAAATTTTGATTTTGCACTGAGATACAGCTGTTTCCGTGAGCCTTTTTTCGTATACTTTGCTTGTTACATTTTTTCTTCTTTTGCCTTTTCTGGCAAATTATGTTTTTAGTCACTTGGTATAAGATTCAAAGTGAACCCTTTGAGCTACATCACGAAGAACTTATACACTTCTTCGGAACATCAATGGTCATAACACCTCGGGTGAAGTATTAGGTCCATAGGTCGCCCTGTAAAAACTGTTTATATGAGTTATTTTTCGTAATATTTATACTAAAACTACTCATCGAGAATATCACAAGGGTCGGATCACTTCGCACGAGGTCGGCTTTGTGACTATTTATGTTCCAAAAAAGTGTACAAAATCTGTGCTCTGCAAAAGGAAAGGAATTGACCAATAGAGTATAAAAAAACTTACAGAAATTCTCGTATTTCAGTGAAAATTCATAGTATTGTAATTGAAAAAAAAAATGAAAAAGGCCGCAAACGTCCTGCCCAAAAATGACATTTAAAAGTTTCGATTTTAAGGCGTATGTGCCCCCTGAAGACACTTGGAATTTATCTAAAATATTTTCAGTCTTCAAGAAGATCAATTTAAAACGAATTCGAAAAATTTCAATTTTTAGTACAGAATTATTGGTGCTTAATTCAGGACAAATGCCATAAAAACATGAATTTGCCATAAGTTTGCTATAAACTCAATCTTTTTATGGGGGTAAGATAAGTAAAGATAAAAAATGCTCAGATGTTTAAACGATTTTTAAAAGATCTTTGAGAATATAGTGTTGTCTTATGCATACATATACATAATGTATATTACAAGTTGGCAATAAATATATAGGATCTGCTGGCGGTGGTGAATTCTTCACGTGGATCAGCATTGGCATTTACTGCTGTACAGTCTTAGTCGTCGTCGTCGTTGGTACACGACACCTGTTACGGTCAACGACCAGCCTTGCTCTTGCCCTCGCGCGCGCCAGCAGCCACGCAATCTCTTTCTCTCCGTCTCTCTCTTTCCCGGGCTCAGCTTCTTTCTCTTTTGCACCTATATAGCCGCGCGAGCTGGTAATACACCTATACACACCCATCTGCCATACAGATACACCGACTCTTGCGTATACTTGCACTCATCGACGCGCTGGTCATTAGCCTGCCACTGCTGCTGCACGAGGCAACGAGTTTTCTTTGACGATCGCCTCGCGACGAGAGACATTGCGTATCTTTGACTCCTCTGGCCCGCGGAGAATCTGCAAAAAAAATCTCGCGCGCATAATTGCTCGTCTCTCCTGCTTCACGGAATGTCTGCACAGCCCAGCTTTTATCGATACCGTAAGTCATTACAACGTTCCGTGTGTTTTCTCTCCCACCTTCCGTCTTTTCATCGAACCGACTCGCAAGTTTTCTATTATCGAAAGAATTTTCATTGTTTCCCACTCGAATTTTTTTTTCACTCAGGAGCTACTAAGATTTTCGACTCGTACTGCTTCCAATTATATGGAGCGACTACGATTTCGAACTCGTACCACAGCTTGATCGATTCCACTTGGCATGTGTCAGCTTCCATTATTACTATGAATTTTATCTGGCCAAACACTCTCTGGCTCAACAAGCCTGCCTTACTTTGCCGTAACAAGTTTTCATCCTATTTCATATTTATTCAACTAACTGAAGAAATATCCCCAAATTTTATTAGAATTTTTCTGACCGTCCATCATCCTTTTTCAGAGGTCCAAATTAGCATTTTTCCGTAATTCATGAATTTTGCAATTATTAAAATAATACCTAATTCCATATAGAGTGAATTCAACGAAAAAGTGCAGGGAAGCTTTTGTGTTAGAAATTGTTTAAAAATTTTTGCTGACAAAAAATCAAACCATTAAAATACAGAGAAGGAGATGTTATTCGACATAGTAAGAAAGCTCTATGAACTTTTTCAGCGATGAAAGACCGGATCGATCTTAATCAGATGTTTCTCTCTATGGAATTGTGTACAGTGTACTATATTCTGCAAAGTACAGCAGAAAGGTCTTAAAGCATTTTGTCCAAAAATTTAGACAATATCCGGTAAAAAAGCTCGCTGGGAATTTTCAAAATATCTGCAATAAGCATTAAGAAAATATTAAATTCGTGGTTTTGTCAGATATAGAAAATTTTTTTGACCGTTTGAAATGACGTAGAATTGCTTATATAAAGTTTACGGTCAGATATATATTTGTCTTCGGGAGCCTTACCCACAGGTACCGACAAAACATAACGGAACGAATAAATTCTTTTATATGGATCATAACCCAGAAAATTCAAACCTGTCATTGTGGAAAAAACTACGTACATCTAAAGAAATTACACGTACGCTGGATCTTGTCTCGATTATCATTATATACTTGCGCGAAGCTGCCATGACATTAGACATACAGCCGCAGCGAATTCAACTTAACGATAATCGAGTGCGCGTAAAAAAAGTAATGTTTAACACACAACTTGCTTCCATTTTTTAATTTCCCGACAATATCTCTGCAGTTCCATATCACTTTCGCACTTGTACGTTGTATTAGGGCATTGTGTATATGCCTCCGTGACGTACGTTATGTATACGTAATTCCTGTGCTTAAATAACCGGAAAGAAGGTTTAAAGGGACGTTGACTTTTGTGGAGTTTTGACAACTTGCTTTGGCTTTACAAATATTCGCAAATCTTTTTATAGTGAACTAGTATTAACAAAATCAAATTGATGTTTCAGATGTTTTATCAAGGAAAATTACAAGCGTTAGTGTTGGTGCTGCTAGCGGTAGTCAGTACGAAAATTGAAGCAGCATCAAAGTGCCAGGGCAGTGGACTGAAGTACGTGTGGGGCGATGCGCTCACGGACTCGACGGACTGCTTGGGACCCAACAATATGCAATACCCCACGTAAGCGGACAATCTTATAAAAATATGTTAAGGATATGGCAAAACCAACCCAAAAATTCAATTTTCAATACAGTTTTCTGAAAATTGCACCGAATATTTCTCTTAAAGATAGAGAGCTACATTATGATGTTTTAAGAGGTATCGTAAAACCATGTGGAGAAACAGTCGGTAGAAGTTTTAGAAAAGTGGATTGGAAATGCAATTGTTGAGCTGACTTTGCCAGCCCCTTGATGAGTAAATTACATAATGGAAGAGGTTGTCTTTTTCAGGGGCGCCATAGCGCGAACCTTCAAAAACGTGTGGCCCGGTAGCAGCAGGACTGCGAGACACTATCAGGATCGAGAAACGATAGACCCGGAGATTACGCGTCAGACGCTCCTGCAGAACTACAAAGCGGCAAGTGGTGACCATCACATTGCAAGCAGCACGAGAATCGGTGAGTTTTGCACTTGGCTATAATGTAAGATCAGGCGAATGGTAAACGGTTGCGCCTGGCCAATGTTCCGAGCGATCAGTCTACTTTTATCGAAACGTATCTAGCATGTCCGAGAGATGCCGATCTCAAGATAAGTCGCAAAGTTATGTAGCGTTCGTGATTAAAATAGGAAAATTGTCAGCTGCGAGCGCAGTGCACGCATTAACCGAGAAAATGCAATATGAGATGTTTCGAGAGGCAGGAATCTCTGGGTCGAGCTTCGTTAGAGCGAGCGAGTCAGACCTTTCACTAATTATACAATAGGCTCGCTCGTCGAGTTCAAGTTCGCAGCAGCGACTTTGGCAAAGGCTCTCGCGTACAAGCTCACGATTTTGTGTCGATGCATCCACCGCCGCTCTCCAACTGCACTGCGGCTAATGAATCAAAAGCTCGAGCGGGCTAATTATCTGTAGCCGTTTGCACATATAGACATTCAAAAATGCCAAAGAGGCCATGCAGGGGCCGATTCCCACAGGCTGAATCCACGTGACCGGCTACGGCCACCTATATATTATATAGGAGATGTCAGTGCACGTCTGCCTCGCGGGAAACGAGTGTGGATCGCGCAAAGGAGCAAGTGAGAGAGAAAGAGAAAGACAACGGCAATCTTGATTATGCACGCAGCTGTCCTTATGACACGAAAACCCGCTTTGGGACTTGTGATGCTCTTTTCTTTTCTCTCTCTCTCTTTTTGCCCATATACGCACAGAAAAAGTTACTCACGCCTCGTAACTGTGACTCGATTTGTTCTTGAATGTAACATATAATAAATCCATTGAGTTTAGTAAGTCGCCTATAGCTTGAAAATTATTAGCACACGATAATGTCACGATCCTTTGACTCCAAGTCGACGATCGAGAATCAATTGTGGCTCTCTGTCAGTATCTACCTCGCGCGTATAAAATAATAATTTTTCAAAAAAAAGAGAAAAAACAATCGAGTGGATTCAGCATAGACCTCGCGCAGGCCTCGATGGACCGAGTTGTTGGCGGCAACGATGCTTTTCTCTTACTTTCGAGAGAAGGTAGAAGGGGGCACCGTATACAGTTATTGACTCGGAGTCGTGTTATAGCCAAGAAGCTATATCGCGTAATAACGGTATAATGTTATGTACCGGCAAGTCGACTTTTGAGTATAATCGTTTGGCTCGACGAGTCCGTCATCGCATATCATCTTTCCGATTGGAACCATTTCCTCGACCGACCTACTTTATATTTAAACATTTTAGCTCCGAGAGATTCATACTGGCTATGTACGGATCGGTGGCATGTGACACAAGTGAAAAATTAGTATTGTTATTATAATTTTTTTTTCAGGACGATCTTATTCAAACAAGGACTCGTGCGGTGACTCGACGCGACTATGTAAAACCAGGTACAACACCACTGCGCCGATGTACGGAGTTAGTTTGACCAGCGGCCAACCAGTAACGATCGTTCAAAAATTCCCCGATCTTCTGCAGCAAGTCGTTTTTGAAGTTTGCGAGTACGTATACTTATTCGTTGATAATTTTGAGCGAAAGCTGCACTTACAAGGTTGAAAGTCGGCAGAAAATCGCCTTTCGTTATGTACGAGCGCCTACTCAAAACTGTGCACACGTCATTTTGCTTTTTCAGGTCAAAGGAGTGCGACACGATTTACGGCGAATGCACGCAGACGTACGTGCCATACTTATTTTTGGTAATACCTTTGGGGCCGGTGACGCTGACTGGCCAAGACTACGTGCTCGTCGAAAGCGGCTGCGTCTGTAAGCCAACGAGAAAGCCCAATCGAAGCGATTGAGCCAGCCCTAGCAGCCGACACATTCGAATCGCGATCCAGTGAAATTTACCATTGAGAATACTTCAAATGGGTCAGAGTGTCATCGAGAGATAACGCATCGCATCCAGCTGCTCATTGTAATATTTCCTTGCGTATGCGTCATGTAGGAGAGAGATCGTCGATGCATTAATTTTAGCGGCTCCTGCCGAGAGACTGAATGCACCGTATACATTGCTGCAAAATAATGCAAACAAAAAAAAATAAATAAACGATCGAATGAGAGAATGAAAGACTAAATGAATGAGAGAAAATAAGCTACCACCGCGAAGCCGGTTGCGGACATAAGTACGTTTGACTGCATACTTCGTAATAGGCACAACAGCAGTGACAGCAGGTCCTCGTTCGATCTTTAATCGACATAAGTTGGAACGAGCTTTTTTGGCCTTCTGCAACTCGAGAGACTCAATGATTCGAAAAGCAAGAAAATAATAGAGAAAGAAAAATTTAACGAATGTTATTTTTGTTATATGTACAACTTAGAAAGTATATATGTCTGAACTTTGGGGTCATTTTTTTTATGCCAAGAAAAAAAAAGTATAAAAAAGGTTTTTGAAAATTAAAAGAAAAAATGTTTTTCAAATAACTATATGGTTATATTAAAACCGTTACAATACTGTTTTTTCAAGTTTTTTTTTCTATCAATTCTAGGCATTTTCACTTATTTTCGTTTTTCTCAGAATTACGAATTTCAGTAGCACATACACTTACTCGACTAAATAAATGTAGAATAAGATATATCAAGAAAGCTCGCGTGTCTTGAGCTTTAGAGCAATTTCGACTACGAGTCAGAAAACTATATAATTTGTCCATTGTCGAACGTTGCATCGTTGCATCTGTAAATAATGTAATTCTAAATGAGAATTTTATAGCCAGAGTTGCAGTTAGTTTCTCGATTTTATATAATAAATAAATAAATATATATCAATCGATTAATTGATCATATTATAAAGGTTTATCGTTGATTGTATATGTCTTGTGTTGTGTTGTGTGGTATTGTACTTGTATAGTAATAATAATATCATGTAAAATATTTTAAAAAAATTATCAGAAAATAATTGTGCGTGATAAATAAAGTAATCTGAATATGTTATATACACAAAGCAGAATATACATTATAAAAATTTCACTTCAATATTGAGAATTTTTAAAGGTGCATGATTATGTTAAATGAATGATTTACTTTGTAAATAAGATGAGATTTCGAGGCAGCTAGAAAGAACCCTCAATTGAAAAACGACTAGCTCAAAAAGATGTAGTCGAGAAAGGACAACAAGATTCAAGAGTCCCTATAACACTAAGCTTGACCAATAATAATAAACAGCGGTGCTCAGGACAAAACGGTATAGGCGCGAATTTGTTAACAACATGCGGGCTCACATCCACGATTAGGGCAAAAGAAACTTGCCAAATTTCCGGGCTGGTTCTTGATGATACCTGCGCAACGAAACACACAGAGTATGGCGATGCAAATACAACTTGCAGCTTTTCATATTTTATTTACGTTTTGATTCATAACAATGTACTTTTTGACTCAAGAAAGTCGATAAGGCGATTTGTAAAGCTGTTAAATGTCGACCGCGCGCAAACAAGTCCGCGTGATCTAGTGAGTTACTCTTTCTAGCAGCGCATCGTTCGGTCGGTCTCGTGGCAAAAAAAGAGGAAAACCAAGTTCGAATTCCAACAAACTTGGCCAATGAGACGCTTGCTTTTACGTATATGTATACGATACACACCGTGCGAGTGTAAACCGTTACACGCTTTTGCATAAACTTCATCGTCGCTGAGCGAGTCGACTATATGTACACAAGACATGCACTCTCCAAGTATTGAGACGTTCACCTTTTCCTGAGTACATTCACGTACGGTATCTACGCTTCTGTGACCCATTTGTACTTTTTCTTTTTTTTCTCCGTCTAGCGTTACCTTATCATTCGATTTTAAACTTGCGCCACCAACGTATTCGTGTTAAGCGTTTGCTTAAAATGAAGTTGATGAGCTTTAGAGAAAAATTAATTTTAATCCATTTAAAAACTTAATATTCAGATTTTTCATGGTAATAAAATAATAATGCAGTAATTTATAATGATCCTCTCAAGGATATGTAAAATATGTTTATTTTTTCGATTGCGCAATTGTAGAAAAAATGATTATAGTCATTTTCACTAAGTCAAGCTTGACAATTATTTATAAAATAAATGGTACATTAAAATAACAAATGTTTACTAATACACGGAACTATACATTGCGATTGAAGGATCAACTATACATAGCAATAAATAATTATTAATGCAAATTTAATTACTTAAAATATTTATGTAACTCTAAAAGTGAAATTCGATAAATTTTATATCGAAATTGGAGTCTTTTTATTCAAAAAACAGTTTCTCGATATGCACAGATGTCCGTTATTTAATAACCAACGTATTTGGAGTAATTATTGTAAGATTCTGCAATTATTTTTGTAACAAAAGTATCAAAACTACCGCTAGGTAAAAAATATCGCAGTATTTTTACAATATATAATACCTATGTATATTATTTAATTTATTAATGAAAAATCTAATTAATTGAATTCTAAATGCCTATTCATAGTCGTCGAATTTTATGGAATTAACACTCATGTCAATTTGGCCACCACGATAACTTCCTCTTTTCTTCTTGGTCTTTTCGTGACGGAAAGATTTACCTCGAGTGAATTTGAGATCCAAGTTTGCTTTTTCTCCCCAAGACCCTCTTGCTCCTCTCTACAAAAATGTGAATTTGTTATTAATTTCAAAAAATAGAATATTTAATTTTTTTATTAACACTATTCTTAGGTGGTCACGCTATAAAAATTATGAAAATGACGTTTGTATACTTTTGCTTACCAACTTCGACGAACTACTTAAAACAAGCATCTAGTCATCAAACACAATTTTTTTATTTTGAGGGGCTGCATCGCCGCCACCTCCAAAACTGTTTCTGCTTTTGTTGAATCCACCTCTGTTACCTCCATCATTGTCACCCCATGATTTTCTGAAGCCGTCACCACGCCCACGAAAACCACCGCTTCCTCTATCATTACCACCCCACGATTTTCTATCATTGAAACCGCCTCGACCTCCTCGGTCACCGCCACCTCCACGGCCACCTCTGAATCCACCGCGATCACCTCCGCCTCGACCTCTTCCACGGAAGCCACCGCGATCACCCCCACCGAATCCGCCTCGTCCGCGGAAACCACCTCTATCATTACCACGACCACCACCGAATCCTCCTCTACCGCGGAAACCACCTCCTTCGCGCTTTTTAAAGCTATTGTCGTGACCATTTTCATTTTCGCCATTCTCCTATAACAGAAAAAACACAAGTCAGTTGCCAATCTTTTGAATGTTTGTTGGTAATATTTGCTGTTTAGACTAATATTTCAAGGTATAAAATTTTTCATATGAATTGTTCACATCAACAATGGTGAATGCAAGGAAACGATCACGAAACTATTAGAAAACAATTATCAAATTTGTCGGCAATTGACTTGTGTTTCTTTCATTCTTGTTTCCAAGCATTTACCTTTGCTTCAAATGAGTTGTTTGCAAGAAGTGGAGAAACCTCAATTTCATCATCCTTTACTCTTCGAAAAGGTTGATTTTTAGGTGTCCTTGACTGTAACATTATTCATAATCATTTAAATATTTTAAACACAAAGTGAACAGTGTAATTCATACGAAAATAATATACATGTTTCATAAAAATGAATAAAAAGTTACCTGATCTCCATTCTGTTCGCCACCTTTCACAAAATTACTGTAGTTATTTTTTTGGAATTTTGCTGGTTTATCTTCACCTTCTTCATCATCTCTGTGTTTTCTTTTGCCTAGTTTGACTGGTGATTCTTCTTTGTTATCTTCAACTTCCATAGATTCTTTTTGAGTAGCTTTACCATTAGTCACTTTGGCAGGTTTGTTTGAAGCTTCATCATCAGAATCATCAGAGTCACTGGAGTCTTTTTTAGCTGTCGGTTTTGGAGCAACTGTTTGTTTTTTGGCTGGTGGTTCATCATCGCTGCTATCTTCAGAGTCATCTGAAGATGATGCTTGTTTCTTTGGTGCAGCCTTCACTGGAGTTTTAGCAGCAGCTTTAGGGGCTGGTTTCTCCTCATCACTGGAGTCATCCGAAGATGATTCTTGTTTTTTGGCTGCAGGCTTTACTGGAGTTTTGGCAGCTGCTGTAGCCTTTGCAGCAGCTTTAGGAGCTGGTTTCTCCTCATCGCTGGAGTCATCTGAAGATGATTCCTGCTTTTTGGCCACAGGCTTAACTGGAGTCTTTGCAGCAGCTTTAGGGGCTGGTTTTTCTTCATCGCTGGAGTCATCTGAAGATGATGATTCCTTCTTTTTGGCAGCAGGCTTTACTGGAGTTTTAGCAGCAGCTTTGGGGGCTGGTTTTTCCTCATCGCTGGAGTCATCCGAAGATGATTCTTGTTTTTTGGCTGCAGGCTTTACTGGAGTTTTGGCAGCCACTGTAACCTTTGCAGCAGCTTTAGGGGCTGGTTTTTCTTCATCGCTTGAGTCATCTGAAGATGATTCCTGCTTTTTGGCTGCAGGCTTTACTGGAGTTTTGGCAGCTGCAGCAGCCTTTGCAGCAGCTTTAGGGGCTGGTTTTTCTTCATCGCTAGAGTCATCTGAAGATGATTCCTGCTTTTTGGCCACAGGCTTAACTGGAGTCTTTGCAGCAGCTTTAGGGGCTGGTTTCTCCTCATCGCTGGAGTCATCTGAAGATGATTCCTGCTTTTTGGCCACAGGCTTTACTTGAGTCTTTGCAGCAGCTTTAGGGGCTGGCTTTTCTTCATCACTTGAATCATCAGAAGAAGATTCCTGTTTTTTGGCTGTAACTTTAACTGGGGCTTTACCATTTGTTACTGTGGACTTTTTTGGTTCTTCATCGTCACTATCTGAACTCGAATCTGAACTGTCGCTCTGCTTGGAGTTTTTTACTGCAACTTTTTTTGTAGAAGTTTTTTGGAAATGTTGGTAAACCTCTGCAATTAAAGGTGAACCTTTAGCAAGCTCACGCTGAAAGTTATAAATATATTATTAGTACATTATGTAGATGTAGGAAATTCTTCATTAAGTACTATCATACATTCATTTAAGTTTTGTAATGTTTGAAAATTTTTTATATAGTTTTATATATTAATACATAATATTATAAAGCGAATATCTTTTTTGAATATAAGATAGGAATCAATGATTGAAAAAAGCCGGCTAATAGCGGAAGATTAAGTTAACACGTGCGGTATACGCCTAACCTAAATTGACAAATTTAGATATTCACAAAAATGCAATGTCCGATTAACGTTAAGTTAATTCATACTTATTTATATAATTTTTAAATTAATATTCCAATAAATATCAAAGATTAATAAACCTAACCAAAAAGTGATATATATATATATAGGTATATATGATGTAGTACGGAACCCACGTGGGGCCATGGAATGGCGGCCACGTGCGTTTCGTTTAATCAATTATATTTCAATTTTATTAAGCAAAATAAAATATATAACATACCGCATTGAATTTCTTCTGAAATACTTTGGCCAACGATGCATCTGTTTTCAACAGATAATCGTGTACAAGGGCAGCAATGCCTGGATCTCCTTTGTTCGCCATGAGGAATGAGTTAAATGCTGTGCTGGATCAGATTGAAGAGAGCTTGATGCTACTAGGCTGGACGCTAAACAGAAAGTGGTACGGAGATCGACAACGTGTGTGGGGCTGTACTTTCGGCAGTCGGTGAACACATGCGTACATTACCCGGCGCATCTTCTTCAATGTTTCGTGACATTCTTACGGTCAACTTACCATACCGGATACAACACATGTAATTTAAAAAATTGTTTCCTAGAATTACGTTCATAAATCTTAATAAATAATTTTTATTATTAAAGTCTGAAAAATTATATACATCCATTCGCTTGTAACTACATTGAATTCTTCTAAACTTATAATCTTTTTTAGTTATCACGATGAGTCCTACAATATAATCATTTGAATTTTTGTAAGTTCACAGAGCAGTTGTAAAATATTTTTGTAAAATAATTGTAAATATTTTATGAGCAAATGCCATAAAATTTCGATGGAATTATTTTTAAGAAGAAAAAAGATTCATAAAGTTCGTTAAGTCGGTTTATTGTTGGGTAAACCTACCAGTACTCAACCACTTTACGTAGGAAAAATGCTCACTCTGTTCACTGATACAAATTATAATATAATAACGTTAAATAATTGTCTAAAAAGACTTTCTGATAGCAGAAAAGGTAACTTTTAGAATTAGTACTTACACGCAATCCAAAAAAGTTTGTAATTTTTCTAAAAAAATTTTTAAATCTAAAAAAAAATGCGAATCGTCTAGTTGCCAACCACACCGTACTGAAACATCAGTGTTATGAACTTAAAACTTGCTAATAATTTTATTTTTGAAGACGGAAAGCATTATAAATGAACGTAGATATCTTGAAATGCATTCTTATTTTCGTTTTTAAAAATTGATTTGATACTTTACCTAGAAGTTATTAGGGTTTATTGAGAAGGTCGAATACTACGGCCTTTTTTATTGAGCATAGTCCAGTATTCGACTACGGTCGACCAGGGTAGAGTTTTTGATCACATAAAAAAAGATTTGACGATTTAATAGTGCAGCTATACTATTTTCTGAAAATGTAATATTTAAAGAAGTGGAAAAAAATGTTCATTGCATCATTATTTTATTGTAATTACTAATTATTCAAATAATAGCTCACAGTGGTCGGTTACTAGTGGGTGGTCGAGCATTGGTAGGTTTACCTTATACTTTATTTTTTTTTGCTATCAATCGCTATTGTTACTGAGTTTGAATTCTCTGAAATAATATATTCGTGTGGAACTCAGAGCTGTGTATGTAAAAATAAGGACCACGCAGCTTTTAAGACAGTCAGCTTTTCTTGAAAGATATATTGTGACAGTCACAAATTAAACTCGCTATAAATATATATGGTGGAACTATTTCTGATTTCTCTAATCTGCAGTTGGTGGCGCCTCTATCTACCTATAAGTTTAATATGTGCAGTGTGCACGTAATGTGATCGTGCGCAACAAAGATTTTCTGATCCATAAATTCCTGCATTGCCGATATACTCAACTCAGAGTGCTAAATTAATTCCATATCAGGCTGAAATTAATAGCAAAACCACATAATATGACAGAGAAAAATAAAGCTTGTAGATGAATATTCTGAAATCGCTTATTGGATAATACTCGTTCAAATCCAATCAAATATTCGTTTGTTCCTAAAGCTCACCTGCGAAGTAATAGACAAAATAATTTGCACACTAAAGAGTAATATTTTTTTTGTGAAAGTATAATTAGAAAAAGAAATAAACTAGAAAACAAAGATAATAGTAACATCCTCTGTATCATCAGATTTGTGTCATTTTTGAGATGACTTGATGACTTGGAAGTTGTAACCCTTCATAATCATGAATGGATTTCAGACATGATTATTTGCTGTCAGCAAATCTTAATGTGTATCGAAAAAAACGAATCTGAAACCCAATTCGACTTAATTTGATAGCTAGGCTGAAAATTGGGTGGAAAGAAGGAAGACTATAAAATAGTGTTTTTTTAACTTGAATTTTTCGGGTCACGGTTCTTCATCATTGTTCTTTTATTATAATCAGCACGTTTTTAATCTTTACGATTTTTATCTCGAACAGGAACAACTTGATGAAAAAATGCAAAGAATAAAAACGCCTTTGAATTAGTTAATGAATACGTGTGAATTTTTTGAAAAATTGTCGAGGAAATTTTTGGATTTTTCAAAAATGACGTTCTCGGCTATACAGGATTTTTCATTTATAGTTTCAAGCAAAGTAAATGATGGTCCATGCAACTAAAAAATGTTCGTGCTGTGATTTACGAGCACGATTACTCGGACGTTATGCGACGGTCAAACGAGCAGCGAACTTGCTGAAATTGTAGAAGATTCACAAAAGTACTGCTGCTACTGAAAGTACTGTTGCTGGTGAGCGAATGAAGCACGCCAAGTAGTGCATTTTTGATGGACAAGTAACGTGAGTGATAAAGCATCAACGAGCATCGAGCAGGCGTTGATCTGAGCAAGTTGTAGAGACGCTAAGGAAATTGCGAGAGGCGATTCGCAGCGGTCTACTCGCGATTTCGCGGCCCGCAGCAGCTTCGTCCAGCTGCAGTAGTGCATGCTGCAATTAGCATCGAGTATCCCGCGGGCGTATCCCGACCGTTGAGTGCATAATAAATTCCATCAGTCGATGGTTCAGTTTTATTAGTGAATGTGTGCCTCGAAGGAGCGCTTCGTGCGTGCGCTGAGATCAAAAGAAGCAGCAGCATCAACGCGTTAAACGTGTTTGATGAGTGCCAACTTGTCGTGAAAACATCGAACATCGCGAATCGGCTGTCTCGAGTTGCGCCAGTGCGCGGCGCGCTCGTCTGTACATTGTGTACAAACTCGTCCTCGAGCATCGTTTCAGCTGCAGCGTACCAACTATAGTTCATTTGTCCTCGTCATAACTGCCTAGTGCCTATAGCCAGGTAAACATATAATCTTCTTGCTTTGGACTGCCAATTAGGACGCTTTGGCCAATCGAAAGAGATTTTATTCAATACCAATGCATCGTTACAACTCTCTCTCTCTCTCTCTCTCTCTTTCTTTCGCTTTGAGCGACTATGTAAAGCGGGCTCACATAATCTCGTCCGCTGCTGTGTCGACTGATGACTCTCACAACTGCGTAAGACCTATGCATCGTACAACGTGCATGTCGTCGCTCGATGCATTCGATAACAGGTCTTTGCTGTCCAAATCTAGGGCTCCATGCTTCTCTGTCGCGTCGCCCGACAGCAGTCTTGTATGCGTATATTAAATCACACGGTTGGCGCTTGGCGTGCATAATCCATCCACGACGCGAATCTGGGCTCGGGAGGCGGTCGCAGCCAGCGAACGAGAAAAAATACCATAGAGAAGAACCTGCGTGTTGTATGTGCGAAAGCGGACGGAGACAAGGAATAAATTCCCATCGCCCGCTCGACTATACCATACACCCATTCATGTGTATGCGTGTGCGTATGCGTATCTACGTATATGATACATTTGCGATGTACACACTGTGCAGAATGCAGCCTGTAGGTACATAACGAAAACTGCCAATGTTCTCTTATACGCGTATATTACGACGAGGAGGATCAGCAACTATAACGTGTAATGATAGACCTCGTATACATACTTATAATACGCAAGATAATGCAGCCGCAGTGCAGCAGTGCGGCCGCCGCCACCACCGCCTCAGCTGCTCCCGAGATTGTGCAGCTCTTTTCGCATTTTTCTCGCTCGCGTTTCCTGGATCGAGTTCGCACTTCGCACGTATTGCCGTACTTGCTCTTATACTTCGGCTCGGCATGCCAGCAGACTCTTCTTGCTCTACTCCTCTATTATGCCCCGTATGCGTGTGTGTCATACATACCTATGTGTGTGAATACATATTGTACATTTAGCTGTCACACTCCAGCTAGTCCGTGCCTTTTGTAAGACGAGAGTGCGAGAGACCAGTTTTCACTGACGCATTATTATTATATTTATGTCGCTGCACGGTGACTACACGGTATACATCAGTCTTGCGATTCATCCGCGACTTTTCAGCTGTATACGTGCGACATCGTCTGGACGAGACCAGTTACTACATATTTACCTACATAGTGCATATAGTTATATACATATATATATACATATCTACACGCGCGCGCGCACACACATCCATGCATATGTCTCTAATAAAAGGAAGCTGCGATATATAAGCTAAATTTTACTCTGCTCTGCTGTGGTCATTCGTCATCTGTTCATAATTATCATTTTTAAGATTGTATTGTCATCTTTTTCTTTCTCGTGTTGCTATATCGTGTCTTATAATAAAAAAAATCAATGTGATCAATCTGTGATTTCTCGTGTGGACGTGCGTATGATGTTTGTGTATATTTAAAGGTGTGGACGTGTTTATATGATGGCTGCACAAATTTGTGGTCAGATGTTTTATTTTTGATTTTCAAAAGTGTAAGTGTGTACTTACAGACGGGCCGTTTGCTTTAGTTTTTGCCCTTTTTGTCCTGCCTAAAAATAGCCCCTCGACGCTGGTTAGGTCGTTGAGCCTCTTTCCGTAAAGATTTTCCGTTTTCCAGTGCAACTTAGCAACATATAAGAGATACAATGAGAGTTTGTTCATTTAATCTTTTCAGATGTTGAGTGAAATTGAAAACTAATTTTTATGATGCATTTGGGTAAAAAAAACATTTAATATTGCTTGATAAAGGTTTCAATATTATTTGATAGATCACCTCTTTGATATTTTGGTTGATGTTTAAAATTAAAAGTAAAATATTTGAAGTTGAAAAAATGTTTAATTAAAATTATGCTTAGGATCTATGAATAATACATTTTTAACGTACTTTTATATTTATTGCAGGTTGTGTCCTGTTTGCTGAATTCAAAAAATGAATAAAGCCAGTTGTATAATTAATTGGTTTTATTTCTTTTGGTGGAAATCATGATCAATGAATGTGGTCCACAATAACACGCTTGTTCTCAAATCAGCTGCAAGAAGCACGTCCAAGTACTGAACATCAATTCAATAACCTAAACAACGGCGTGCCAGTGGCAGATATAGCTGTCGATGTATCTGTTGCAATGGAACATTATACAATAGATGAAAAACATAGAGGATATGGAGGATCAAGTGATCAACATTCGACTAGTGGAGATTCTTCAGAACATTCATCTGATTCTTATGATGCTCGCCAGGTCAGATTTCATATCTATGTCATATCAATTTGATTCTAAGTTATATTATATTGTTCTGATCTAATGATTGTTCAGTTTAAACAAAAATTGTTGATTTACTATGAATCAACTTAAAATTAGATATTGCAATATGAATAAAATTATTGCTTTTTCATTAGATCAAAGCATTTTTCAGACTAAAATAAAATTGTGATATGTTTCAATTTGACAAACTAAAACTTTAAACGCATATTCTGGATCATCTCATTTAAATTAGTTGTAAAAATGTTTAATTTAAAGGTAAGAAAAAATAGAATTTAGGAGAATGTAGGAGAAAATAAGACAAATAGGAAAAATAGGAAAAATTAAAACGGATAATACAGCTATGTAATAACAAAGATACATTTTATTGGTCGTATATACTAATTTTTCGATTGGGTAATAATTGTAACATCATGATCCAGTCCTACATTTAACCAATTGTTTACATTGAAAATGGAGCAAGTCACTCATCGTCCCAACTTTTTTCGTTTTTTTTCTCATAATTTCGCATTATTTTCTGTATCTATATACAATAACTCATTGTTATTATATTAAAATCTCGCGTTACAGGGATGAGTATGAAGTACTGAAAAATAAATGAGTATATATAATAATGTAATCCATAATACTATATGTCTTGAAAAATTGTCTGTGCTTAGTGGGTGAAATTAGTAGAGCTACTATAGCGTCTCAGAAGTAGATTTATCATCTTTGATCTCGCCGATTGTATATGGGATTCGATTTGACCCTGATCGAGTCAGTTGCATCAGAAAATCATGTTTATATGCGCAGTGTGCACGTGCCTGTGTGCGTGCAATTATATACAAGATCGGTACGCATCACGCCGCAAAGGTTCACGCCTTACAATTTGCCTCGCCTAATAAGGCTAAGTTAATTTTTTTCGTGACTCGCTGAAACATGAGCAATTATTACTAAATCCATCTTCTTACCAACTGAAAATTGCTTTTGCTGGGTTACCCAAGTGCTGTAAAGCCAAGAAATATCATACTTTACAATGATCTTAGAAGCAAATGGCGCATTCTCAAATATCGCCTCGATAACGATATCCACGCATTATGCGTGTAGAAAGCACTACTATAGAGCAAATCTATATGTTTGCTACTCATTGGACCGAAATCAAAGTTAGATTGAAATTGAGCGGTAAGTGCACCGAGCCTTTTGTGGCATGACGACGCATTTTCATCATACACCCGCTTTCTCTGCTTAACCGATGCATTGGTTGCTTAATGCCTAAAATAATTTACCAGCTATTTTCGCACAACGATTTTCACATAAACTGCAATCATATTTTTGTGTTGGTTCAGGAAAAAAATTGGGATTTTATAGGATAAAGTTTTAAAATTTAACATTTAAAATCAAATTACTGATAGAAAACAATCGAGTTTTGGTAAAAAAATTATTATGTCAATGTTATTATATTCACGAATTGGTAATTGTGTGAAATCATTGTACAAGTGCAAGTAAAATATTGGACTTTTAGCGATGAAAGAACTTGCTATCTGAGCGATAATATTGACTGAATTATAAATGGTTCACATGCATGAGAAACTTTTTGAAGAAAGTGAAAACTAATTTATCTTTCATTTCGGCCAATGGCTTTTGACATTTCAATTTAATAGTAATAGATTAATGTTTCATTCACGTTTATGTTCGGGTTCTATATTGAATAAAAATTCTTTTGTGTTACTGAGGAAAATACTACACAAAATTTATAGGAAATGGCCTGAAACTATCACAAGAATTGAAATAATACGCGTATTTAGAACTTCTGTATATTGTAAACATGATTCCTCGATATAAGTGTCGGCACGCTAACTTTAACCTTAGCCTAAAAAATTTGTTTACTTCTCAGGCATAACTTATTACGTAGTTGCGTCATTTTCACAATAATAATGTGTCAGACACCCGCACCTTCCGACTCGATGCATAACTCGACGCCTCTCAATAAATCAACGACTTTTTAATTAGCATAATACACAACTTCCGAATGAAATAATACATTCGAATGCTGTCCCAATTTCCTTCTTCCTTATATAAAACGTTTGGTCCCCGGTGACGAAAACGCTTCGGTCGACCCAAGGTCTCTTACGTTTCTCTTTCTCTCTCTCTATTTATCTGTCTATCCTTTATATCTACGTTCCATTGGAATTAAAAAACATTTTGTTCATTCTTGATATTATATATTACTAATGAATCATTTTTTTACTGAACAATTAAATTCTTCGCGAAAAATGAAAGTCGTAATATCCTTATGTAAGATAGATTAATCGTCGTGTTGGATGCTGCAATATTAGTAAGCGAGAGAGAGAGAGAGAGAGAGAGAGAGAGAGAGAGAGAGAGAGAGAGAGAGAGAGAGAGAGAGAGAGAGAGAGAGAGAGAGAGAGAGAGAGAGAGAGAGAGAGAGAGAGAGAGAGAGAGAGAGAGAGAGAGAGAGAGAGAGAGAGAGAGAGAGAGAGAGAGAGAGAGAGAGAGAGAGAGAGAGAGAGAGAGAGAGAGAGAGAGAGAGAGAGAGAGAGAGAGAGAGAGAGAGAGAGAGAGAGAGAGAGAGAGAGAGAGAGAGAGAGAGAGAGAGAGAGAGAGAGAGAGAGAGAGAGAGAGAGAGAGAGAGAGAGAGAGAGAGAGAGAGAGAGAGAGAGAGAGAGAGAGAGAGAGAGAGAGAGAGAGAGAGAGAGAGAGAGAGAGAGAGAGAGAGAGAGAGAGAGAGAGAGAGAGAGAGAGAGAGAGAGAGAGAGAGAGAGAGAGAGAGAGAGAGAGAGAGAGAGAGAGAGAGAGAGAGAGAGAGAGAGAGAGAGAGAGAGAGAGAGAGAGAGAGAGAGAGAGAGAGAGAGAGAGAGAGAGAGAGAGAGAGAGAGAGAGAGAGAGAGAGAGAGAGAGAGAGAGAGAGAGAGAGAGAGAGAGAGAGAGAGAGAGAGAGAGAGAGAGAGAGAGAGAGAGAGAGAGAGAGAGAGAGAGAGAGAGAGAGAGAGAGAGAGAGAGAGAGAGAGAGAGAGAGAGAGAGAGAGAGAGAGAGAGAGAGAGAGAGAGAGAGAGAGAGAGAGAGAGAGAGAGAGAGAGAGAGAGAGAGAGAGAGAGAGAGAGAGAGAGAGAGAGAGAGAGAGAGAGAGAGAGAGAGAGAGAGAGAGAGAGAGAGAGAGAGAGAGAGAGAGAGAGAGAGAGAGAGAGAGAGAGAGAGAGAGAGAGAGAGAGAGAGAGAGAGAGAGAGAGAGAGAGAGAGAGAGAGAGAGAGAGAGAGAGAGAGAGAGAGATGTATCACTATATTTTATTTATATTATATACTTCCACAAATTGGTACGAGGACGCTATTATTACTTCTCGATTTGGATGCACTTGCAAGTGAAAAACAGACTTGAAATATACTGAGAAAAATCATCCCTTCGCGATCTCTTTGTATGATAGTCAACGTACAATTTCTGCAAAATATGTTTAATATATGATACTCGAAATCAGTTAATCGTTCGCTTATCTCATAATGTATCATGCATGTAACACTACACCACTGTGCTGCAATAATATTCCTTAGATTTTCTGCATTGATTTTACTTATGCATATCAGTCCCACAAAAATGTAATGTAAGGTCCTTGATAATCGATTATGTTCAGTGGATAACAAATTAATAATTAGAAATAAGTAAATCAATGATATATTAAAAGCAGATAATGTTAGATAAGAAACAATTTCTTCCTTAAAGTTTCACAACAGAAATGTTAATAATCATTTTATTGGGCATGTGAAAGATGTAAAAAAAAATTAAAAAAATGAATCTAGTAAATCAGCTAAATCTAGCATGTGACTGAAAATGTATGCGAGTTTAGACAATTATTTGGATTGTAGCGACGAATAGTCCCATTTCATAATGGGTATTATAATATACAGATTTTGTCGATTGTTACTCAATAGTCAAGAGCTCACACCCAAGTCCATTGTTCATTTTCAAATTAAAAAAAGTTCCGTTTACACTTAGACTTGGATAAGTATAAAAATATTTTACTGCATATTACGCGTATGACTATAATTCCAATGAGCTACAGTCACTTCATTTAAAACATCTCGCCTAAAGTAACTTATTTCAATGCAATTTTGAAAAACAAATTTAATTTCTCGTCATCAACATCATATATGCTCTGCATGAATGTGAAGAACCTCTTGGATAAATATGAATCATTATGATTTTTATATAATATTGGATGCAGAGATATATTACTTAGAGGTAGGGTAGTCAGACCAATCAATGACCGGGTACCAGTGAATGACTATTTTGGAAAATATCGTAGGAAAAACAATTAAAAATATATTTGTATGGTTGTAATTCAATTCTTTAGTGAACGATGCATCTTGTTTTCTATGTTTGATCTTAATTTAATTAATAAGGAAAAACGATAGTTATTGCACATCCAAAAGTGGTCATTTACTGGTCGAAAGCGGTCAATCACTGGTATAAGTACCCTATATACATCTATGCAAGGAGCAGAGATTTCACTCCTAGCTGATTTTCTAATGTCATCTTCGAAATAATAGAAAGATAATGTCGACGGCGATGTAAGCAGTGCTGCAGGTGTGCCTTTCGACTAACGGCATTTTGTTCTGTGCTGTAAAAGTTATTGTATATTAATCGTTATATTAATCAAAACAAAGCAACCCACCGTTTTATGGATTTTTTACGAATAGATCGTGTTACCGAGCTAAATTTTGTTCGCACTCGAGATGTTTGACCCTTATATAAGTATATAAGTATGCAGTACTTACGAATATACATATATAATACAAATATAAACGTACAAACGTACGGCGCATATACGACGAGAAACGATTGAAAGTGTTGCGTTGTTCCGCTGGCGCTCAGACATTGAGTCGACTGCGCGGGGTCAACGGACACGACCTCTTGCATCGGTTCGTTCGTTTAGGTCTACTTGAAACTCAGTGTTGCATCGAGAAACTTAGCCGTTCATGCCTACGTTTT